CGGCTAGTGATTCTTCGTCTTCGGGCCCGAGCTCGAGCTCGAGGGACGGGGGACGTTCTTCGACAAGGGCCATGCCAGGGCCCAATGCCGTCTGCGACGGTCCAACCACCGTCACGCCTGCGTGGCTCTCAATGACTTCTAACCGCCACGAGAGACATAAGACTCCACTGAGCAACACGATTGTGCCCAGTGCGATGAGTCCAGCGTGGATTCCGGCCAACTGCGACATTTGGCGGAAATATATGAGGCCATCGATGATGGCGATGATGTTGTAGATGCAGAAGACGAATGGGTAGAGAACACTGGTGCTGCAGAGCTTCAGGCCTCGGTGTAATGCATACAGCTGCATGAGAGCAACGGTGATCATTGCCAGGAGAATGACCCATGACTGCCATCGGTTGAACTGATTGACGCGATCCACTATGGTCCGGACCAGCAGTTCCACGGCGGATTTAGCGAGGAGAAGGGTATGCGCTGACAAGACCCCGCTGATCAGGCCATAGCATAATCCACGGATCAGCCGGACTCGGCCGTGGGCCATTGGTATGCGGGGAGGAGCATACGCATGGTTGTGGATGGTGGAGTGTTTCGATCGCGCCGAGTGTGTAAGATACTTCAGCACTTTGGACCCTGCGTAGATGACTACCACTATGATCGCGGTCGCCACCATCCAGAGAATGAAGTTTCGGCGTTTTAATAGTTCGAGAAGTTGGTCGAGGGTATGCGCAGGTTCTCCGACAGCACCGAAGACCGCGATGAGAACGGCCCCGATGCAGACGAGGACGGTGCCGATGAGGGAGTATCGGGTAAATGGCTCACCCAGAATTAAGGTAGCGAATATGGTGTTGAAGACCAGACCGGACTACATCTTCGAGTCTCAGCGAGGTCCAAAAGAATCAGGTGAGGAGATACTGACAGCCTGAAGGGTGGAGAGTACCGGGAGCGGAAGTGTAGTGATCTGGATGGTGCTGCCGACGATGTTCGAGATGACGAACATCGACATGCCCACCTGTCGGATATCCATTAGATTCGTTCTTTTTTAGCTGTCCCAATGAAGCGAATAGATGTCTCGCTCACCTGCCATCGTCGACGTTTGTATGGAGGGCGTCGTGAATCGTAGGGGAACTTCTCGTCCTCGAGGATATGCGACTTGCGCTGGAAGGTCAAACCAATGGCCTGGAGACTGGTCGAGATCAACCCGATGATCACTCCGACCTGAATCGCCCCAAAGCTGTCAGTGACATTGTACTGGAGGGGAATCTTTGTTCAGGCAATGAAGCATACCGCAACACTCCCCTGCGGCGACAGACCACCCAGATTGCCCATCTTGGTGGTATAGCCTCGCGCATTATTCAGAACAACAGAGGAGGAAGGATAGGAGCGATATGCGCCATACTGCGAGGAGGGATGAGAAGCAACAAGAATATGGAGACGGTGGTGGGGAGAAGAAGGGAAGTAAGTGGGAGGAAAGACGAAGGCAGCTCATGCGGGCGGGCGGGAAGAGTTACGTCCAGTGATCAGCAGATCCGGTCCGCTGCTACGTACGTATCTTTCCCCTTCCTCGCTCTCTCTCTTCTCCGGTCATTCCTCCCTCATCCAACCCCCCTCTCACTCCCCCTCGTCCTTAATTCATTCCAGAATACCCTTCCGTGACTCGGGTAAGTATGCGCTGGTTATGTCTCTGTGTCTTATCGGAGCATGTGGCCTGTGGGATCTGCTGTGGGAGAGAGCTATGCTGACTTGTCTCCGTGATCTCCCCTCCTTAGATTCCACTCCGCACCTCGGGAAGCTCTCACCTCCAGGTCACCACAAACCCCTCCAGTCCCAACCTTCAAGATGTCGCAGTCCCATGCTCTTTCCGACGACCAGGTGGCGGGTGAGCTCCGCAAGATGACGGCCTTCATCCGCCAGGAAGCCCTGGAGAAGGCCCGCGAGATCCAACTCAAAGCCGACGAGGAGTTCGCCATCGAAAAGTCCAAGCTCGTCCGCCAGGAAACCGCCGCCATCGATACCCTGTACGAGAAGAAGTTCAAGCAGGCCGCCATGTCCCAACAGATCACCCGCTCCACCCTCGCCAACCGCACCCGTCTCCGCGTCCTCTCCTCTCGGCAGGAGCTTCTCGATGACCTGTTCCAGCAGGCTCGGGACAAGATCTCCGGGATCGCGGGCAAGGACGCCAAGAAGTACCAATCGGTGCTGAAGGGGCTCATCCTGGAAGGACTGTACGCCCTGAACGAGGACAAGGTCGCGATTCGTGCCCGGAAGACGGACTATGACGCGGTGAAGAAGGCCATCAGTGAGGCTGAGAAGGAGTTCAAAGAAACGGTTGGCAAGGATACGTCCGCAGAATTGGACGAGGCGGAACCGCTGCCAGAGGGCTCGTAAGTTCCCGTTGGATAAGATCTCGGGCTCATAACTAACTGTCGACTTAGCGCTGGTGGTATTGTCATCCTCGGTGGTCAGGGCAAAATCGAGATCAACAACACTTTCGAAGAACGTCTGCGGTTGCTGGAGATCGATGCTCTTCCTGCCGTCCGGGAGACGCTATTCGGGAAGAACACTAACCGGAGATTCTATGATTAGAGCAGAGACGTCCGCTTTCTTATACGTTGCAACCTGACCCTTTCTTTTCTTGCTACACCCTTGTATCTATCTTCCGATCCACGTTGCGGAGAACAGCATAGCCTTGTACAGAGTTTTTGATCACCCGTCTATCTCATTAGATTATTGAGAAAGTAGCAGTGCTTCTTCTAGATCCTCGGCTCACATTAACCAACGCCCAGATGAGACTGTTTGCCGTCACCCGTCCTCATGTCCTCGGATGGGTATCTGCGCACCCTTCTGACCGGGAAACCACCGCCTGTCCAACGTAGTTTGAGATTGGTCTATCATAAACGGCGACTTCTTCGGGCGTGGCTTCGACCGGACCGAGTATACGATCCGATAGTGTAACGCCTCCAGACCCTCTTTCGCCAGTGTCCGCTTGAGGTGCGACGCGCCGGAATCCTCAATCGAGGTGAAAATTTTCTTGATTCGATCCGAGAGCGTGTCTACTTCTGAGTTGAATTCGCGCTCGGCGTCTTTGCTAGGAAAGTCAAGGGAAGACCACGCGGAATCAATGACGACATTCAGCAGGGTTGTGATGGCCGCCAGCTCGCTGTAGTCATAGTCAGTTTGGCCTTTGCCCTTGTAACGTCTCATGTTGAACCGTTGGTCCTTGAGGACTTCGGTTACTGTTCTGAGGCACGCTATCGCATCGGGTGTTTCGTTGAGAGCTGATGGATCACCGGTCAGGAAAGCGAGGGCGAGAGAAACGCGGAGACCTGCGATCCAGCTCGTTGTTGGGAGGATGTGTCTGATTATACGGCTTTGGAAGACGCGGTCTTTGATGGCATCGTAGGCTGTCGTGCAGAGTCGACGTTTCTAGTCGTGTTAGTAAAATAGATATGCGAAAGATGGGGGTTGAACCTACGACATCCGCAGCAATGTCATTCTCACGAGAAACGCTGTCGAGGATCGTGGTGATGGCTCTTTCTATTCCGGAGCATATTGCAACGTTACTAGTCAAGGAAATGTCGAGCGCGAGTCGGAACAGAAGGTTCAAGATATGCTCGCGAGTGTCAATAGCAAATCTGTAGCTTGTCAGTGCTTGTCTTCAGAAGATGGTATTTCCGGATCAATTACGAATTTGCTGCACCGCTCAAAATATCGAGGACAGATAGCAATGAGCTCCTGTGTTGCGAATCCCCTCGCAGTATGTTATCTGCAGCCCATGAGTAATGTGTTACGGGACCAATCGGGTTGAGGGCAATAATCACGTTTTGGGAGAGCATCAGGTGTCACTTCCTCACGAACAGCCAATGCTTTGGGAGTTGCCCCGAGACGCTCGAACAGAATGTCGATATGGCTTGGGTGTATTAGGGACCTGAACCTGTCTGGGCTGGTTTTCTAAGAACAGGATAAGCATATGGATTACCAAGGTATCCAGGGGACGAACCTTTAGCGCTCTGCAATATGCGTGCCTGAGACTATCCCGTGGCTCGGATGGTACTACAATGGGGGAGTCAGTGTGTTGCCATTGCCAGGCGCGTGTGAACGGACCAGTGTTAAATATCCATGTGATCAATTCATCTGGGAGTTTTCCTTTCGACAGGGCAACATCGACAATCCCCGAATAGAACGCTCGTTCTCTCGAGTCAGGTTCTGCAAAAGTTAGCATTCCTCAACCAAACCATGGGCACTGTCCCGCTCACCTCTTAGGACCGACATGTACGTGTCGGGGTAGACACAGTCCCGTGGAAAGTCGAGGGGAGGCGCTATGTTGCTCCCGTAGTCGAAAAAGAACCACGCCTTTTCGAGATCGAAGGCTTCAGTACGGCGCACAGCATCCAGCAGACGCTGCAGCCCGCCTTCATCATCTTCGTTGCCAAAAGCTAATGTCAATATCCCTTCGTTAAGCTGGCTCTTCTGGCCTGGATTCGGTCCAGTGCTATTTCGAGCCTTCTCGTCCTGGAGAGAGGCTTTGAACTTGGCAATCTTGGCCTCGGTTTCGTTGTCGTCCACTGCCTCCACGACGAGGCTTTCGAGCGTGTTCCTATAAGTCCGGGGTGGGCCACGGCTCTTGGATGATCGCGAATGGAGCGACGTTCTAGAGGTCGCATCGTTTTTTCCCGCCTCGTCTGCTTCGTTCGCGATGTCTGGTTTCGTAAACTGCATGAAGAGCATTTCAGGCGCTTCCAAGGACGCGATGGAGTCTGTGTCCTCGCCATCCGAACTAATCACCACTTCCTTGCCATTTCTGACAACACGCTGCGACGAGCTAAAGCTTGATAGTGGATCCGGGGTAGCGCTCTGCGCATGTTGGAAGCTTTGCTGGGGGTCTTGAGAGGCCTGACTTTCAAGCTCTTCATTGAATGAGCGCATTAGGGATGCTTTTAGCTGGGGCCCTGCGGCATCTGGGGTCTGTGGGGATGAGGCATTGTTGGACAAGAACGAGGAAGGCGGCTCGGTGAGGGGGGAAGATTGAGTGCCGCGCGGGGCCACAGTCTCTATCTGCGTCTGCAGTGGCGGATCTTGATTGGCGACGGAGAAGTCTGGACGCTTGAAGAACTGGGTGATTTTTCGGGGCGCCGACATGGCGGGCAAGTGACCATGTCGGAGGAAGTTTGATATTGGGGAACTTACGGTTGGCGGGTGCACGGTTCGGCGCTTGAATTAAGCCCACCGCGGTGGATTCCCGCTCCGCCATTATGTACTGCCTTCTGCCTCATACATGACGAGTAACTGCTTGGCTTTCTGTGCTCATCATAATTTCTCTATAGGTCGGCTGCTTGGAAGTCTCTGTTTGGCTGAAAATAATTCTAGAAGTCAATCAAAGGATTTGATTTATTTGTTCAATCGTTGGATTTGCGTGGCCTAGTCTACTCTGAGAATGGACTACAGAGTATTCATATTTGTCTACTGGGATATGGACTTATTCTTCGTATATATAATTTCAGTGTCAGCATATATGCTTTCTGTGCAGGTTGTATTGTTGTGTGGAACGTGTTGGATTGTTATAGGGAGGGAGCTACTCTGGGGTGTGATATATATTGTTCCATGAGATGCTCAACTTCCCAAACAACAAACGCATCAATGATATTTCGAATAAAATGACAAGGCCGACGGTGAGAAAATTCCATCGCCGTGGCGATGACAGCTCCACAGGATCCCCCAGACATCGGGAATAGTTCCGTTGGTTGGTGCGATGCTCGCCCACAGCGACGGTTCATAGTGTGCCCGTTCTCCAGACTATTGAATTCACTCCTGTGTCAACGTTAAATGCCACCGATCTATAAAGCTACGGGCTACTAAGCTTCAATGACAGAGGATCAGAGCTAGCTAGAGTTAGCAGATCATTCCACAGAAACCAGATAGAACCCAAAAAGAACGAGTCGCGAAAAAAAAAAAAACTCGGTACAAATGAATGGTATGTACAGCATCAGGAACTATCATGATTGATCTCGTATCTGACTCGCCGACTCCATGTGCGAGAGGCTCCAGGAAACACCACAGGCAGACTCCGCACCGGCCAGGAGAAGCGAAACCCAAGAACTTCTAAGAAGATACTTTCCTAACGGGGAGGCCTCCTTGCCGAAAAGACCCAGGGAGGATCTCATCATCACCAGATTGGGGCCAGCTTCAGGGGGTCCTGGAACGCAGATTGGGTTTAGACTCTTTCCCCTGGACCCCACAACAGTTCGTGTTGTCGATCCGTGACGCCAGCCCATCCGTCAAAAGACCGCCGGCTAACTAGCTGGAGTTGCGAGTCCGGTCGCAGGGTCCACTTGGAGTTGGCATGTTAATTAGCTATTGAGCAGTAGGGAAGGATGATTTTGGGTCCAGGTTTTAGGAAACAATATGGAGTAGCCTAGGTATGCATCTCCTACAATCAGGCCGGACAATGGAACGCGCTCTGGTGCGCGCAATCTATTTGCGGCTCGGGTAATAATGAGACCAGATTGATTGCGTGTTAGGAGATTTGGCGTAGTCGGCCAGCTTTCCGGCGCATATTACCATTTTTGGGAATTTTCACCTGGAGGCAATCGGACGGATGTCATAAAAGATAAAAAAAAAAAAAAGGAAATTTTCGGGTTAGACATGCAATATCTACTCTATAGTACGTATGTACGCTCCATGGCAAAGTTCAGCTAGCGGCTTCGAGAAGGATACTGAAGAGGGATCATCTCGCCGGCCTCCGGAAAGAGCAACAAGAGAAACGCGCAAGTATGGAGCCCGCACCATACTCTATTGAGTAGTTGACTTGCTGGGAGACGCACGGCCAAGAGTCGGATAGGAGAAGACGCAGAGGATGAAAAGTTCCATGCATGGAGTTATTGTATGAGGGAGACATGATTGCTGAAGTGAAGTTATACTTGCACGTTCGATATAGTCGTATTGTCGTGTTGTCTATTTTTATTTCTCAGAAAGGACGGAAGTACGGAGTAAGGTACCTATCGCGACAACTCCGTTACCTCGAGGGTTTGCTGTAGTGGACCGCCGCATGTGCCGTCCGTCCCCCGACAGCTTTTAGCCCGTTTCAGACTCCGTTCTCCGAGCCTGGGTGGGTGACACTCGACGGTTCCATGGAAACTCGGCCAGAATAATGAATTCTAATCTTACATCCTGAGGTCATCTCTCTTCACGCCTCTCCGGAACATGGGTAGTTAGGAGTACAGTAATCATCAGCCCGCGTGAGACTACCTACCTGAGGAGCTCAATTCCACCAATGCGCATTGCCCAGGCCGGGGCTTCCGTCGGGCTCTTTGAGGGGTATTCTAAGATAGTTTGGGATCGTCCACATTGACGACGTTATCCTCCGGTCCTTTGCATCGAATAAATCTTCCGACGGTACGGGAGAAATTCGGAATCCGAATGGTGATATAAGGCCAACCGTTGGAAAGGTCCCGAGAACCGTCGACGAGGACTCGCCTCATCCGAAAAGCCGAAGTCCATGTCTTCGATCTGCTCGATTATCAATCCTTGCCACGAATGCCATTTTTGCTTACCAAGGAACCAAGGGATGCGTGTTTATTGCAGTCTGACAGGAGGCTGGTGACGGAGGGTGCTGATTCGAGCCCGTAAATTACCGTTATGCATACGGGCTATGCATACTTCGGATTCCATTCAATAATAATGCATCGCAGAACTCGACGGAGCTGACGGAGCTGGCCTCCGCGATGTAAGCCAATATCGTCTAGATTTTGTGATGCATGGGGTAAGAATTGAGAAACGGAGATGCTGTGGGATTTAACATGAAACACTACACGACTGAGAAAAAAAAAAAGAGAGAGAAGGTAAAAAAAAAGGGAAAGGAAAAAGATCAATGGAGATCATTATTAAGATGACGATCGATCATATTGGAGGAAACTTACGCGTTCTCCGGGGCCGAATTACCATACCAGACAGCATTGGTGGCAGTGTCCGCTCACCGTGGACCTGCCCCGTGTGGTCCCGGACGGTATCAATACAGGCCAAATACCTTACCTCCATAGTAATAATGATGAGGAGGACAGAGAGGAGTGTGTCTTGTCTGTCCTCAGAGCAGTCACTCTCCAGGCCTCATTTTTCCCTCCTCCTCGATTCTCTCCCACTCTCCTCGTTTACATCCCCCTTCCCCCCGTTCCACCTCCGCCGTGCCTGAGGTTTCCACTATAGGATCAATCTCTAAGACGGCAGACGGATGGCCCTTGACGGGTAATTCGCCTTTCCTTTCCTCCCCCCTCCATTCGTTCGTCGCCATCTTACCTACCAGCCGTATACCATCCTACCTACACTTCTCCCTTCGCCGTCGTACTTCACCGTGTGGCCGGTCCTGTCGTCAGCATCCCTCCAATCACGATTTATCGTATACTACTGTCCCCGTCGTTCATTCCCTGTCTTCCCGACTCCCGCGACGATACAGGGACCTCCGGATCTCCACATAGCCCTATCGTTGACGCGACAGTGCTGTCGAGGGGCCAGCTCGTCGGAGCGGATGCTCCCCCTCCATTCTCAGGACTTTATACCCCCTGAGGCTCGGTATATGCCCCTACAAGGGCAAAGATCTTGCCTAAATGGCTTCTGTCAACTTTGACCCCGAAGCCAACGAACCCGGGAACGACGTGCGCGAGGTGAGCAGCAATATCTCCAAGCCAACTAAGCGACAACGATGGGCTACAACACGAGTCGCTGGCGCCGGTGGTGTACGGAAGCGGGTCTCCATTATGGACCGCTTTCACAAGCGTCACGAGTCGAAGAGTGAAAAGCGGCGGTCCAATCTACCTACCGCCGAACACCCCGATGCTCAGGGCGACGAGGAAACCGGCAATCGAAGGATTTACTTCAACGTCCCAATTCCAGATTCCGAAAGAGACGAAGATGGTCATCCCAAGGCCAACTACCCGAGAAACAAAATCCGTACCGCGAAGTATACTCCGTTGACTTTTGTTCCCATGAACATTTGGTTCCAATTCCACAACATTGCCAACATCTATTTCTTATTCATCATTATCCTTGGTGTACGTTCTGTCGCCCCCTGGTCTCACGGGTTTCAACCGCAGCCAACTAATGGTTACATTTAGTTCTTCCCCATTTTCGGTGTTGACACTCCCGCGCTGAACACGGTGCCCCTGATCGTCATTGTTGTTGTCACCGCCATCAAAGACGCCATCGAGGATTGGCGGCGGACTGTCCTAGACAACGAATTGAACAATTCCCCAGTATACCGTCTGATTGATTGGAACAATGTCAATGTGAGCGAGGAAACCGTTTCCCTCTGGCGTCGAATCAAGAAAGCCTCTACCCGCGCCACCATATGGACCTACAGGACGGGCAAAAATATGGTTCAGAAGAAGAATCAGAATGCCGAGGAACCGGAAGAAGCCGACCGCCGTGCGTCCTTTATGACTACTGTGACACCGCGCACCTCCATGTACTCCCAACGCGGCGACGACGTCCTCGATCAAGATGCCATTCAGATGACGCCGGTTCCGTCTCCCACCCCCGACGCACGCTCCGACTGGCCGCTGCCGAATGGAGAGCAAAGCCAGTATCTCCATCCTGATAAAGCCCGGAATAGTCTTATTGTGCCTCCATCCCCTACTACGCCGCCGCGGAAAGGCGGTAGTGTGGTAGACAAATCGAAACAGACCCCCGGGACCGCGAGATTCAAACGTGACTTCTGGAAGAACATCAAAGTGGGTGATTTCGTCCGGCTGTATAACGGAGATCCCATTCCGGCCGATGTCGTAGTCTTGTCGACTTCGGACCCGGATGGCGCCTGCTATGTGGAAACGAAGAACTTGGATGGTGAGACGAACTTGAAAGTTCGACAGGCACTCCATTGTGGGAGCCAAGTCCGACATGCCAGAGATTGTGAGAAGGCCGAATTCGTGATTGACAGTGAAGCGCCGCATCCAAACTTGTACGCCTACAATGGTGCTTTGCGCTGGGATCAGCGTGATCCCGATTTCCCCGAGGCTCCACGTAAGGAGATGGTGGAGCCGATTTCCATCAACAACGTCCTCTTACGTGGTTGTTCCCTGCGGAATACGGAATGGGCTCTCGGTGTCGTCCTATTCACCGGTGAAGAGACTAAGATCATGCTCAACTCCGGCGTGACTCCGACCAAGAGACCGCAGCTTGCCAAGGCTCTCAATTGGAACGTCATCTATAACTTCATCATCCTGTTCTTCATGTGCCTGATCTCCGGTATTGTCAACGGTGTTGCCTGGGGCCGAAAAGACAAGTCGCTCAATTTCTTCGACTTTGGGTCGTATGGAAGCACCCCGGCTGTCACCGGCATTATCACCTTTTGGGTGGCCCTCATTCTGTTCCAGAACTTGGTGCCCATCTCACTTTACATCTCCCTGGAAATCGTCCGCACCATCCAAGCTATCTTCATCCATAGTGATGTCTTCATGTATTACGACAAACTCGAAATCGCGTGTATTCCGAAGTCCTGGAATATTTCAGATGACGTCGGTCAGATTGAATACATCTTCTCCGACAAGACTGGTACGCTGACTCAAAATGTCATGGATTTCAAAAAATGCACGGTCAATGGAGTTTCCTATGGTGAAGCCTTCACGGAGGCTCAGATCGGTATGGTACGACGAGAAGGTGGAGATGCCGACGGAATGGCTGCCAGAGCCCGCGAAAAGATTGCTGCCGACACGGCAAGAATGCTCAAGTTGCTTCGCGGCATCCACGACAACCCCTACCTGCATGATGACAAGCTTACCTTTGTGGCCCCGGATTATGTGGCTGATCTGGACGGCCAGTCGGGTGTTGCTCAAAAGAAAGCTACCGAACATTTCATGCTCGCTCTTGCAGTTTGCCATACAGTAATTACTGAGCATACCCCGGGTGATCCGCCCCAGATCGAATTCAAGGCGCAGTCCCCCGACGAGGCTGCCTTGGTAGCAACAGCCAGAGACTGTGGCTTCACTCTCCTCGGACGGTCGGGTGATGACTTGATCGTGAACGTCATGGGCGAAGAACGCACCTACACGGTGTTGAACACGCTCGAGTTCAACTCATCGAGAAAGCGCATGAGTGCGATCATCCGCATGCCGGATGGAACTATCCGGCTCTTTTGCAAGGGCGCGGATAGTATCATCTATTCGCGGTTGGCACCTGGAAAGCAGCAAGAGCTTCGGAAAAAGACCGCCGAGCATCTTGAGATGTTTGCACGTGAAGGATTACGGACCCTTTGCGTCGCTGATCGAAAACTCAGCGAGGAGGAATATCGAGCCTGGAGCAAGGAGCACGATATCGCCGCTGCTGCGCTGACAGACCGTGAGCAAAAGTTGGAGCAGGTTGCAAGCGATATTGAACAGGAGCTCATGCTTATCGGTGGTACGGCCATTGAGGATCGGTTACAGGACGGTGTCCCAGATACAATCTCCTTGCTTGCAGATGCTGGTATCAAACTCTGGGTTTTGACTGGTGATAAAGTTGAGACTGCTATCAACATTGGCTTCTCCTGCAACCTCCTGAACAACGATATGGAGTTGCTTGTCTTGAACATCCCAGAGAGCCAGCCCCAGCGAGCATCCCAAGAGCTCGATCAATTGTTACAGCGCTTCGGACTGACTGGATCTGACGAAGAACTTCTTGCTGCTCGGGAGGACCATACGCCCCCACCGGCGACACATGCTGTCGTCATTGACGGTGATACTCTCAAATTGATGCTTGGGGATGACTTGAAGCAGAAATTCCTCTTGCTTTGCAAGCGATGCAAGTCCGTTCTCTGCTGCCGTGTCAGCCCTGCCCAGAAAGCTGCGGTCGTCAGAATGGTGAAACAAGGTCTCAACATCATGGCTCTCTCCATCGGAGATGGCGCCAATGATGTTGCTATGATCCAAGAAGCCGATGTGGGTGTCGGTATCATTGGTGAAGAGGGTCGACAAGCTGCCATGTCTTCCGACTATGCCATTGGTCAATTCCGCTTCCTTCAGCGTCTTGTCCTTGTCCATGGAAGATATTCTTACCGACGTATGGGAGAAACAATTGCCAATTTCTTCTACAAGGTATGTTTTGCATTACTCCGAGAATCCGTTAACCGATCGGTCTAACAAGCTTCACAGAACTTGGTCTGGACGTTCGCACTGTTCTGGTACTCTATCTACAACGACTTTGACGGTTCCTACCTGTTCGACTATACTTACATCGTTCTGGTCAACGTTGCCTTCACCTCCTTGCCTGTAATTCTTATGGGAATCTTCGATCAGGATGTAGATGACAAGGTCTCGCTCGCCGTTCCCCAGTTGTACATGAGAGGCATTGAGAGAAAGGAATGGTCCGAACTCAAATTCTGGTAAGTATAGCCTTCTAGCTTGGATCGTTAATCTTTTATGCTGACATATTGCAGGCTATACATGTTCGACGGGCTCTATCAGTCGCTCATTTGTTTCTTCATGCCTTACCTTCTGTACAGCCCCGCTAGATTCGTGGACTCAAACGGTTTGAACATCAACGATCGCATGCGTATGGGTGTTCTGGTTGCTACCAGTGCGGTGATCGCTAGCAACACCTATATCCTGCTGAACCAGTACCGATGGGACTGGCTGACGGTCCTAATCAACGTTATTAGCACGTTGCTAATTTTCACTTGGACTGGTATCTATTCCTCGGTTGAAGCGTCCGCACAGTTCTACAAAGCCGGCGCGGAAGTCTACGGCGCCTTGTCCTTCTGGGTTGTCTTGCTCCTGACCGTTACGATATGTCTTCTCCCTCGGTTCACCGTGAAGTCCATCCAGAAGGTCTTTTTCCCAACCGATGTCGATATCATCCGTGAGCAGGTCACGCAAGGCAAATTCAAATACCTGGATCAGTATGAAGCCTTCGTCCCCCCCAAGGCTGCTGCTGCTACCTCTGGTGGCTTCAGTGACGAATCTGCCACGTCTTCTGATCTGGGGAAACCAGTTAATCCGAAGCAAGATCCATTTTCGGACGACCAACAAATCTACGCTCCTTCGGTCGCTCCAACACAGCATACTCACAATCCGCGGAGTCAGAACGGAAGCACGGGGACGAACTACGCCTCGAGCCTTGACCAACGTCCTCAACCGCAATCAGTGGACTATGTCCGGAATTCCCCCGAGCGAACGCGACATTCGTTCGACCGCGTTCAGCCTGATTACGAAATGCATCATCATGACATGACGCGCGTCGATTCTTTGGGTGTTCAAACACCACCCAGTCCGCACAGCCCGTTGAAGGGCCCCTACGATCCCCCTACACACCCGCCTACAGGTAATTTTATTTAGTTGTTACTATATACTGACTTGACGGTCTATTTCTTTTATTGTTCTTTGTTATCCACGGCTCTTCGTCGGGTTCCTGTCAACGCCTTTCTGTTTTATTGTGTGACGAGTAATTGTTCTGGAGCCTCATTGTCTATTCCCCGATAGAAGGCGTTTGGTATACAGAATCGGCTGGTGGTCTGGCGCAATCTTTGTTTCCCCTTCCATTCTGACTTTCTTCCTTGGATCTTCACCGCGTTTACCTTTATTTTGGTTCACCTTCGTCTTGTTCTTCTTGTACAAAAGCATTTAAATGTGCATCCTTTTCTTTTCCCCGACCCGATGCATCGTCTTTCCTGCTGCCGCAATGATGTATGGAGGTCAGAGACTCCGCGGCTGGAATCAGCATGTGGTAATGAGGTTCATGCTCGAGGTCTATGTGATTGTTAATATTATATGGAGAAGATCTCGATGAGAACTTTTGACTCAAGTCTGGTTGCTTACTCGAGGTATCGTAGGTATCCTCACCAACAAGTAAACTGCATACATACCGTACGTTGACTTGGAGGAAGAGTAAAACCAGCAATGACCGCCTGCCCGAAGAGGAGCAGTTAGGGGTCGCGTCTTCGCGCGTAAAGTGGTGGATTCCGACTGACCGCCTTTGGCTCTCACCAATCAACACCGACCAACTGCCGGTCGCCGATTTACTCCCGCGTGTCTTAGTATTGTGAATGTCTTTCCGATGCCCGTTTGTGAATCCCCTCTCTTGTTTGTATCGCGGTCTCTGCAAGAGAGCGAGTACAAATTGACTCTCTTGTGGAGCCAGAGGCTGCGTTTCTCTCCAAGCACCTGTCTTCTCACTCATGGTTCCGCCCGCTTGAAACTATCGGCGAACAGAGAAGAAATTGAAGCGTTCCCTCCTACCTCTCGGTCGCCACAAATCGTGAGCTATGATCATATAGACTGCGGTAGATTCTGCTTTCGCCTGGTCTGGAAACTAGGGATTTTCTCTGGACGAAGCTCCCACTTTGAGCTGTGTCCAAGCTTCCTTGGTTGTCAACTCAAGGGCATGCTTGGGACGTTTCTGCTTGCCACAACCGCAGATTGCAACCGGCTTATCAGAATTTAGCCATGGATGTGATGGATATTGTCGGGTGAGTGACCGAGACATACAACCCCTCCTTATGGTCTTGTATACCAACTGAATCATCCTCTGTTCTCGTAGGGAGCTCCAAGCCCTCCCGGACGATATCCACTTCCTCTGTCCCCGACAACATGACGACGACCACGCGGCGTACGACGATCCAAACCAGGTCGATGAATCAGGCCGAAGTGTTGCGGATTTGGTGGCGGAAGCGACGACCCGCAGGGAGAAGTTTTTGTCGTGCATGCGCATCTTGGCCTACAACGAAGAGGGTGTCCAAGAGCTACAAAACTGGGTGTGGAAAAAGCTGGACGACACGCTTGAGAAATGCGACCTGTGTATCAAGAAGTATTACACGGGGAAAATATGGCTCATGGAGCAACTGAAGGAGAATTACGACGATGAGGACATCGAAAAATTCTCCCAGATGCTCGATGAAAGCGACATCAAACGCATTACGAGGAACTTGACGAATGCCACAGCTAAGTTGAAGGAGGTGCCGCCGCAGGAGATTGCGCTGAACGTGCTGGATCGTGCTTCGTTGCTGTCGATTTTCGAGAGCTTGAGCTGCGATGCGATGCTGCGGAACAATAACCTGCTCGAGCAGTACTTCGACGAACCGTTCAGACTTATCCAGACAAAGCGGAAACTGAAGGTGTCGGATTATATTCCTGCTGTTACACGCTTCCTATTCGACTCGAACCCGAACCGGACCGCCTGGGCCATCTATTCGTGGTCCCGCTACAACCGTCCTCCTACTACGCTGGAATTCGACTGGGCTGTGAAGGACGGGCTTTTGGATGCACTGCGGTCTTCTGCCCAAGGCAATCATTCAATACAGGCAATTTCGAGGCTCTGGCAAGGCATGCATCTGATAGTGAAGAGGCTGGACAAAGAACAGATAACTCATCATCTGCGTGCCCTTGAAATCGACCCATGCCGCCTGTCGGTAGATCATCTCTCCCTCCCAGTTCTTCGTAACCTTTTAAGGACTATCCAGACTTTCTTGGAAAAGGCACCGGCGGACTTTTGGGATGCAATGCAGACAATATCACCTCAGGCTATCATTGAAGCTGTCTTTTACAACCAGCAGTTAGAGGAATTTTTGATGCAAGCAACAGAGGGTACACCATACGAGAACTCCCCAATGAAGGACATGCTCTCGTGGATCCATCCTTTCATGTCGTCCTTACGGGACGCCCATCAAACTACGGCCTGCAGATCGCTGGTCTACCAGCTCCTTGATCGATTGCAAAACAAGCCTCTCCCTAACCATGCAAGGTATCACTGCTTTCATGTCGGGTTGAATGTGCTGTTACACACTCTTCGCACATTCACTGATCATGAAGCTTCTAGAGGCTCTGTTGCCCGCATTATTCTTTCTGAAACTCTGAATGTTGTGGGCACACACATCAAGACGATTTTGGAGCCACCAAAATTTGCTGTCGAGCAGGGTTTACAGAAGGGGATATCGATGCTGTGCATGGATGTCATTCGGAATACGCTGGCTCTTGAGTGTCAATCTCTCAAAAGCGATTACGAGGTGATCCTCCGGCATAACTCTCTCCAGCATGGTGTGAGCACATACTCCGCAGCTATTTGGGATTCGGTTGTTCTACATCTTCACGAAGACAATCTGGATCTTTCAACTGCTGCTCTGCTTGGTATATTGCCTTTGGTTGGCTTGGAGAAATTTCCAACGAAAGGAGAGACTAGTCCAGAGAAGACGCATTTCAATGCGATCTACGGCCATCTGACACACCTCGCTTGCCAGATTATTGAACGGCTTGCCGATTTCAAACCAGAACACCTAGACGAATTGTTCAAGAGCCAGGATACGAGCAGTGCGCTGATTTCAGCCCTATTCGCGGCCGACCTCAACACCTACCAAGCGGCTGTTGACCTTATCAAGAACGTCAGCGGCCAGTCTGCCCGAAGAGATGCTATCTCCCACCTCCTCCAGTCGTTTTTCATTACCACGATGTATGGGCTTAGCTGGTCCTTCCGGCGCATTTCTAACATGAAAACTTTCGCCTCTGCCCCGAGAATGATCCATACCGGAACAGATATTGTCGACATCCTTTGCGATAGCCAAACCGGTATGCTTCGGACTCGAAAGCTTGCAGACCGCAAGGAGATCCTATCACTTCAAAAACTTTGGGAGTACCTCTGGCAAGCGTTGACAACAATTTTCGATGAAACCGAGTCGTGGCATCTTCGCGGCAACGACAAGTCCGTGATGCTGGAGTTCTGCCGTGACAGTATTCAATTCGCTGACCTCCTGTTCGGCCAGTATGGTGTTTTCCTGAGCGCAGTTGTGGACGCGGACCCTAGTCAGGAGAGCACTGCGCGCGAGAACTTCTTGAAGCCCCCGACGGCGACCATGAGTGCAATGGTCAAGTGGCTTCGTTTGAAGGACGAGTATCTTGCAACCACCCTCGTCGGACTTGTAGCGAAGATCCTTCGCCGCTTAGGAGAGCTCAGCGTGACAACTGTGAAGGAGGACGCCTTGGGTTTCATAGAGGGTGTTGCAGTCAAGTCCACTGTTAAAACCATCTTGACCTTGCGGGAGAAGGCCGAACTCGTCCGCGCTCTCGAGGCGTACTACAAGAAACCGGTTGTGACTGCCTCAACCGCCAGCCTGAAGAAGCAGAGCTCAATTACAGCGTTTGCGAAGCCCACCGAGCCCTCTGCTACCCCGAGTCCACCCAAACATGCTGACGAATTCGACGACAATGTTTCGGACGATGTTCTCCTGCAGCTCTCCCGCTCGGTTGAGCTTAACAAAGAGCGGGTGGCCTCCGAGGCCAAAAAGAAGGCCGAGAAGGCCACCAGGGTTGAAAAGGCGGCCAGAGCTCTTCCAGCCATTCCCAAGCCAGCACCTGCTCCTCTGAAGTCCAATTTGACTGTTCAGGCCTTCCGCGAAAAGCGGGAACGCGAAAGGGAGGCGAAGAAGAAGCGCGATCTCGAGATGCTGGCACGTTTGAAGAAGAATCTTCCTGCGTCTGGCGTTGCTGAGCAGACTGCTGAACAGGGATCTGGGCTTAGTGGCATTGGTGTCAGGGGTAAGGACCATAGTGCGCCTGCTGACAGCATGATGGTGTCGTCTGGGTCGGAGTCAGAATCGGAGAGCGAAGATGACCTCGACAAAGAGCTTTTCGGAGCAAAGAGTAGCTCGAAGCCGGATGCTGTTAAAGCGTATGAGGAGAGTAAACGCATGTCTCTCAAGCAGCAGGGACCCGTCAAGAAGATCAAACAGGTGCGGTCAGCGAAAGATATGCGCGCACGTTTGGCACCAGATCTTTCCTCCTTGCATCGTACCATTCTGGCTTGGGATTTCTTCGCCAACGGTGATCTGCCCCCGAACTCGGGGCGTACGGACTATAGTTTGGTTTCCAACACGTTTCGAGACCCCATCGAGTACCAGAGAACCTTTGAGCCGCTGCTAATCCTTGAGGCCTGGCAAGGGTTCCAGTCGTCGAAGGAAGAAGGTAGCTTCAAGACATTTGAAATCAAGGTTGCTACGCGTCTTTCCGTCGACTCGTTCGTTGAAGTCAGTACGGTCATGCCATTCAACGAAGTTAAGGATCTTGGCATTGGCGAGGCCGACATTGTCCTACTTTCGAAGGCAAGCTCTCCGACATCTAATTCATCCGCACCTCATTGTCTTGCAAGAGTGTCTGGCGTCAACAAGAAGAAAGGAACCGTGGAGATATCCTACCGGGTTAATCCCGGCAACTCGTTCATCAATTCTCTCGGACCCGGCACGACCATCTTTGGTTCAAGAATAACATCGTTGACCCCTCTCGAGCGTGAATACGGAGCCCTTATGGCTTTACAATACTATGACCTCTGCGAGGAGATCGTGAAGGCCAAGCCGTCACCAATCCTGAACTACTCGGACGCAGGTCTGAAGCCCATCGTTGAAAACTACAAAGTCAACCCTGCCCAGGCAAAGGCGATTAAGTCGGCCCTGGACAACGATGCGTTTACGTTAATCCAGGGTCCTCCGGGATCTGGAAAGACGAAGACTATCGTCGCGCTGGTGGGCGCTCTGCTGAGTGGTGTTCTTGGGAACAATGGCGTGGCTATTTCGCGGCCGACGACCATGAGCAATGCTAGGCCGCAGGCTAGGACAACTACATCGAAGAAGCTTCTTGTTTGTGCTCCTAGTAACGCTGCTGTTGACGAATTGGTGATGAGATTCAAGAATGGAGTCAAGACGATACAAGGCCGCGAGGAGAAGCTGTCGGTCATTCGTTTGGGCCGAAGCGATGCCATCAATACCAACGTCTTGGATGTGACCCTGGACGAACTTGTCAATGCTCGAATGAGCCAGACCTCCCGAAAAGAGACCGGGGAGCGGGATTTACAGCAAATCTATACGGAACACAAGGCTGCCGACACCGCGTTCAAAGAGACTCGCGCCCGAATCGACCAATGCAGAGCACAGGGACTTCCTGTCCCGGCCGAACTGGAACGAGAGTTTGACCTTCTCAAGAAAAAGAAAACCCAGCTCAGTCAGGAGATCGATAACGCCCGGGACAAGAACCATTCCGCTGCCCGTGATGCCGACTTGAACAGGCGGCGAATCCAGCAGGAGATCATCGATGGCGCCCATGTTATCTGCGCTACACTCAGCGGAAGTGGCCACGAGATGTTCCAGAATTTAAGTATTGAGTTCGAAACCGTAATCATCGATGAGGCGGCACAGTCCATCGAATTGAGCGCCCTCATCCCGCTCAAATATGGATGCTCCAAGTGTATCCTTGTCGGAGATCCCAAGCAGCTGCCCCCCACCGTTCTCTCGAAGGTCGCATCCAAGTTCCAATATGAACAGAGCTTGTTCGTCAGAATGCAAGCCAACCACCCCAGAGATGTCCACCTGCTGGATATCCAGTATCGTATGCATCCAGAAATCAGCGCCTTCCCAAGTAGCACGTTCTACGACGGCAAGCTCCAGGATGGACCTGACATGGCCCGCCTCCGCACGCGCCCGTGGCATCAAGGCGAACTGCTCGGCCCATATCGGTTCTTCGATGTCCAAGGTCTCCACCAGAGCGCTGCTAAAGGCCACTCTTTGATCAACATGGCAGAACTTCGGGTGGCCATGCAGTTGTACGAGCGCTTGTCGACCGACTTTCGAGGAATTGACTTCGCTGGCAAGATTGGTATCATCACCCCTTATAAGGGTCAACTCAGAGAGATGAAGAACCAGTTCGCGGCGAGGTATGGCAATGAGATTTTCAGCAAGATTGACTTCAATACGACGGACGCTTTCCAGGGAAGAGAAAGCGAAGTCATCATCTTCTCTTGTGTTCGCGCCTCGAATAAGGGCATTGGTTTCTTGTCTGATATCCGTCGTATGAACGTCGGATTGACGCGTGCCAAGTCTTCACTCTGGGTCCTTGGGAACTCACAGTCTCTGGTACAGGGTGAATTCTGGAACGGTCTTATCAAAGACGCCCGCAGGAGAAACGTGTACACGGAGGGTGACATACTGAAAATCCTGCAGCGACCTCAGTTTACCGGCTACAAGAATATAGATATGTTTGATGCGGACGCATCAGCGCCTCCGACCTCGGCCTCAAACTCGCCTGGGCCTGTTTCTGGGAAAGATGTCACACCTACCCCGTTGCCTGACGGGCCGTCCGGGGGCGGTAACGGTCTGGACGAAACGCGCATGTGTGGATATTGCGGAAGCTCTGCTCACATGACACACAATTGCGACAACATTGACGCGAAAGAGGCAGCCAGGGGTACCTGTTATCGTTGCGGGGAATCGGGACACACGCGCATCGCCTGCACCGCTAAACGCTGTGTTGAGTGTAGTGCGATTGGACACATGGCTCGCGAGTGCCGCGCCACAAAGCCTCTCCCGAAGCATGAGAAGATGCGACTCATCCGCGAGGAGCAGAGCCTTGCTCAGCTGCAGAAGCAAAAGACCGAACGACAGCGCGCGAGACAGCTTGGAGGCCATGACCCCAAAGTACCGGTTATCCAGGTTACTACAAATGCCGAGAGCAAGAAGCCCGAGCAGGCCCCTAAATCGGAGAACAGCAAAGGGGCTAGTAAGCGCAAGCGCACCGATTCTCCCTCTTCTGATACACAAAAACCTTCCAAGAAGGGGTCGGAAAAGCACCCGCCGCCAAACGCACCGACTGGTCCTAAGAACCAGCGACGGAAGATCGATGCGAATGTGCCGCCTAGCATGGAGGTATGTGATAGAAATGACGCTTTCCAGTTGCTTTCTGTTTCTTTTATTGACGGAGTCCCAGGGTTTGGTTAAGCCGTCGAGGGATGGACCGGCCTACTCGCCTTTGGGGCATGATAAGTCAACGCACCGTCCGCAACCAGGTTCAGGGCCGAGCCCAGGTGCAGAAAACGTATGTCCTATGCGCAGTTTCGTTATTGGGGGTCCCCTACTGACTTACTACAGCGCCCGCCACGACCACCACAGCGGCCCGGTAACGGTGTTCGACCGCCGATGATGCGCAAGAAGAAGGAAGTTGATCCGTTTATTCGGCCCAAGCGGAAGTAGTCGTTGCAGGCTGTCACTTATAGAGCGATAGCTGAGTTGGCATCGGAATGCTTGGCATGCATACATCAACGTCCGGAGTCATGACCCTTTTCTATTCTATTGTTCCTCATATGTTTACTGTACCATGCTGCATTGCTCATTTTCTGGCTTTTGTGCATCGTCTTCTAGGCACATATCCTGACGGGGTTCTTTTTCTCTGAGAATCCGTCTGCATTGTATGGCGTTTTTGGAGTTTCTTCACCTTTTGCTTAGTCGAAAGGCCATGGCATACGTCGGGGAGATGGTACAGGGGAGAAGCAAGACATAGAGGCGTGCATCACGAATGATTTGAATCGTCTCATGAGTAGATTATGTCCACGTACTTTGGTAGCCTAGATTCGTCCTGGATCGACCGTGTCAGCATGTTCATAGTCACGGGCGTACGCAGGAAGAATGGTCAATGCTGTTGTTCTACAACCATATAAGGGGTAGGAATATGACAGGGAGATGTATTGACCACATTGACTTTGGTTCCTGCGGGCGCTTCAGCAAGGCAACGAGATGTTTGGGGCCTACAGGCAGAAACAGTCGTGTCTCGGAGTATCAACCTTGTGCTCTGTAGGCTCAAGGTTTACGAACAGGTTCATGCATGGGTCCGCAGTGTTATGATGCCGGTTGCACTGCGGAAGTTTATTCGGATCGGTGCCTGACTGTGCGAAGGGGTCTATGCAGTTGCCAGGAGAGTTTACAACGTGATTATTGAAGTATATTGGTTGAAGGCCTGAGATGTTGCAAAGTTTCTTCGCTGGCTTGGATTCAAAAGTATCCCGTAGACCATTACCGACTGGCTGGAGCCGCAGGGAGTTTGGTCCAAGGCTGTGATGCTTTGTACATGGTGTACAGTACGTTGTGTCGCTGGAGATATGTGGGTTGAGATATATTGGTGAATGACCAGGTGATAGCAATTATTGCATGTGGTCACACCTTAACATGAACACCAGACACGATTGCGATGGACATGGACACAGCAGCCCTTATTAGGTCAATAGCTATTCATTGCCAGCAAGTGCTAAGCCCACCTTTATTCGCCCCTATGTGTTTCTATGTTCTTCTTGTGTCTAAAATGGATATTTAGTTACTGGCTAGCGATCAGCTGGATAGGTAGAGGCCGTCAGGATCAGCATGGGCGAAATTAGGGCGACCGAGTCCCAAGATTGGGACTGAAGAATACTGACGATCGGAGAATAATTCATCATGTTCCTCATGGACAGGATGGGATGTATGTAGGATTGATGTATGTAGGTACATATGCCCTGAGTATGTAGGTAGGTCCTGGGTATGCACAGGAGACGAGCACCTACATAGATCCATGAAACCGAATTCTTCACGACCCGAATGTCTCTCCCTTGCCATCTATTCTCGTCTGTGCAGGACGCGATTCAGTCGGGCGGATTATCAACTCGTCTATCGCTGCAAGGGGTTTGTTTTGCTTTTTTTCATTCTGGATAGAGTCGCGCAAGACGGGATCCAAATTTGAGCTGCATTGGAGATATTGTTCTATCCCGTTAGTCTTGTCAGCACTGCATGGAGGATCTGTTATATCCCGAGAATGGAGGAGTCGAGTCTAGAGTACAGTGTACAGAGTACGGGGTCTTGACAGCCGATTAGTGGAGTTGAGCATCTGTTTGCTCGATAATGGGAATAAGAATATCACTCATAATTATGATCTTGAGTCAGACTTGGTCGATCTATGGCGTTTTTGTATGCAAGCAACTATTTTAGGCGATCCGCAAGGTGCCGCCACAATTATTCCCATCGTTCATCCATCGTTCTCGTTTCTTCTTGGTTTTGTCCTACAATGGATGATTCTCTAGAGGATGGACTCTTCCGATGAACTACCCAGGTTGTTGTTGTTGTTGTTGGACCTGAGGCTGGACAAGACCGAATGTGACCTATCCCCATCCTCCGCTTCTAACCTCATCCTCTGTCTTTCTTTCTCTCCCTCACACAAACTCCCGCATTCAGTCCGGAGCACAAGGCCATGCCATGGATCGACTAGTGACGGGATCGCAGTCTGTCTATCGACCTAGTCGGCTTCTTCTGGGCTCTCCTGGTCTCTCCACTTCGGGATCTTTCCACCATTCCCGTTCTGAGTCCTGACGCCCTGGCCCACTTGACAGCTCACATCGTCGCGTCCAAATCATTTTCGCGGATGGAACGATGTTATCATCGGCCCGCAGGGCCCTCCAGAATCCCGTTTCTATTCCCCCTCTCTGTGTCAAGGAGGTCGAAGGGCGAGAGTGGACGACATCCCTTGCGTACAACGGTCGCCAAAGCCATGCCCACACGTCTGCAGAGAGAACCCGAGGATGATGGGACGACGTCACACAGGAGGGACCGACTAACGCGATGGACGTCCTACCTAGCTCGGGAATGGGCAGCGGTTCCCCTTTGTTTGCTGGGATCCTGATAAGCCACCGCGCTCTGGGAGGGAAAAAAAGAACGACGCGAATCCGGTAGGACGAACCGGATGCTTTGCCTGACGAAAATCCACGACTGGCTGAACGGCCGGCTGGTCGACGATCACAGCAGTTGGTTCCGTCAAGTTGGGGCCGGCTGGTCTGTCATTTGGCGCCATCTGGATCCCGATCGAACGACTAGCACGGACGGATCGTCAACGTTCTCTTTCTTTGAGATGAACCGGCCAATGCTCGCTCCCTGTTCTCCTTCTCCATCCCCTTTTGGTCTGGAGGGGGCTCCACACAACCTTGCTTGCTTTCCTCCTGGGGCCCTGGATGCCGGCGGATCCTGGTATGGCGGAATAGCATTACTTAGATCCAACTCTATCTCTCAATCTATCGAGAACGAGGAAGCCTCGTCATTCGACGATGCGTCGCCGCTGCATTCCCACTGGAGGGTCACACCCAGAAAGGATCCGTCCCCGCTATGTAGGGGCATGACAGGTCGAGATGGCGACAAAATCCTTCTTAAGCTCCAACGGACCTCACCCGGCGCTGCTGTTTTCGTTGGATGAAGGATGTCATCGCCCAAGTCTCGTTAAGGCATCTGCATACAGCTATTGTACATACTACATACATCCATTCGCTTACTTTCTTTCCTCGTTTCTTTCCTTGACGTGCTTACTTTCCTTTCTATTCCCGTTGTTGGAGCTCAGATCCCACACTCGACCAATTGCTTCATGTCCGTATCGACTGCCGACGGTTCATTGCTCCCACAAAACGTATTGTGGATGAACACCGGCGACCTTCTCTTACCCTTGCGATTGTCTCGTCCTGCTGTACCACCCGTCCTTGACCGCTGTCGATGGTGATTCCCCCTATTTCTCGCATCCAGATTTGAAATCGGCCCGACGACCGCAGTCCAACTGGGTTCCTTATGCAGCAACGGAACGAGTTGCATGACGACCCTGTCGCGCCCAGCCCAGTTGTCCCCATCTATCGGCCAAGTTCTCAATTAGGCAGACGCGGCCATCCCAACATGTCCGCCATGCCGGCTGGAGACGGCCAGTCTCCCATGCCACTTGATGCACACGTGAGCCGAGATGCGGTCCCAGAGCTGGTACAGCTCTTCCAAGCCCAGAGCGCTTCCTCCGCGAACTCACAGAGCAGTGGTGCCCGGGATATCTTTAAAGCGGGCCATCGTCGCCTCCGCCAGTTGGCTCACCGTCAGCGAAAGCCGACGGACCCCAGGAGCAAGGCCGAAGAAGCCTCTCGTCAGCTCCTAGCCCTTCAAGAGGAGGGCTTTCTTCCAGTCCCGAAGGCCAAGAAGCCTCTCCCACCAAAGACAGTATCGATTCCACCCTGTCATCATCTCAGTCTGCTACCAACCTGAGCGTCCGGTCCGATTCCCGTCGAGATGTAGAGCGGATTGGCCAACCCTGGCTCGGAGATCCCTTGGAGAGAGCTCGTTCACATGAACCAAATGGGACTCAGTTGTCCTCGCTTGACCTCCGGGAATTGACATCATTGGTCCAGTCTGCTGTCTCCTTTTCCACCTCAGTTGGAAGATTCGATTCCTCCCCCATACCATCCATATTCCCAGCCCAGTACCACACCAGCTCCGATCATGAGTATTCCCGAAAAGCCATTGATGACAAACACCTCCTCCCAACATGCGGAGGCCGATAAGCCAGTACAGCATCAGAGTGAAGTCCCCTCTACCTCACCAAACAGCGCAGACAAAGCTGCCTCAGGTGACAGGTCCACTACCGGTTCTCTTCAGGTGAGCATAATATGACGGCGAGACATGTCTTCTATATACTAACATCTCCAGCACAAGGACAAGCCCCAAGTCTCTCAAGCCCCCGAAGCACAGCCGACTTCAGACGCACAGGCGACTCACGCCCCCTCAAATGCTGCTTCACAGACCTTGAAGCTGTTTCCCGACAATCTGCCACCGAGGGTTTCGAGCAAGGCAGCCTGGCGTATCTCGAATGGTCGCCCCGCACCGAACCGTCTCATCGCGGAATCCCTCCAGAGCCCAATGTTTGGCTCCATGCAATCTGGAGCACTCGGTTCTAGAGGAGCGCATGATCGACCGAGGGTTCAGAATCCTGGGCACCCGATAACCGAAGGCAAAGAGTTGACTGCAGCGTCGACAAGCGGCAATAGAAGTCTGACGAATAGCCCGATCTCTGAACGGTTCCCCCAACATAGGAATCCCCGCCGTCCTTCCTCACTGCCTTTGGGTGCTATCAACTCTTTCCCATTACCGGCCCCCATGAGGCCCCTGCCTTCATTACCGGAACCTGTCCCTGGCATCAATGCGAAGCGTGGTCAAGCCCCGCCTGTCAATGGGAAACCGACTGAAGAAAAACAGACACCAACCCTTCAACCATCACACAGTTCTCCGGATGTCTCTTCAAACGCCAAACCGGAGATTGACACCACGAAGTCGACTACGACAGTTCGGGCAGAGACCGCAACTGATACGGAGCCCGGCCAACCGTCGCAAGATGAATCATCGAAGAAAGATGATCCAACCGAGGCCGGAATCACTCCGTTCGTGAGGAACGGACTGACGCGTGCAGAGCGTGTTCGCGCTCTAAAACTGAAGGATCTGTCAGGATCCAAGGGCGGATCAGATCTACCCCTCCGCTCTCCCCGATACCAGACGATCCCCGAACGAATCGACGAGGTGTCGACGTCGAAAGAGCACGATGGCGACGCCAAAGATTCCGAAGAACAAAACGCAAACAAGGATCTCAATGAGATCGCATCTTCCGCGCTCTCCCCTCCGGCTCTGCAGCCGCGGCCTGCCAATAAACAGGCCACAGGCAAACGCTCGTCTAGCTCACCGATGCACTTCAAAGCGCCGTCGGAGGCCAGCAACCGCTCCTCGCTCTCCACGTCTAACCGCAGCTCCGGTCTCTCTCGAAGCAGCAGCGCGAGAAGCTCGAATGTTTCCCGAGACCGGAATGATGGACAGGACATCTACAGTCGATCCGAAACTCCTCTTCCGTCGTCCGACGACGAATGCATGGGCCGGAACAAATACGAGTATCAGCATCAACCCTCTCCGCCGAAGAAGCGGCGTCTCAAGCCGGCCCCCATTGTCGTCGGCGATGGCAGTGTATCGAAACCGCGCTACGTGAAGAAGCAATCTTCGCGTAACTTCCCGATGCCGACAACGCCCCAGAGAAGAAGTCGTGGACACGAGCGGATATCCCCCCAGTCCCAGCAATCCCAGAGCACTTTCTACTCGCAGGAGTCCCGGGGGAGCCTCCACTACCAATCGGCATATGTTCACAACCTGGAGGGCCGCATCGCTCAGCTGGAACGACAGAACAAGATCTTGCAAGCTGCGCTTCTCGCAGCTCTTGACCTGGGTGACAAGCCGAACCTGGAGACGTTATTGGGTGGCTCGGCCTCATCACTATCGCCACCGGACTTGGGCCGGTCCTTTTCGTCCGGGACACATGCCTCCAGCTTTGACAAGCGTCCAACACGACATGAAAGACAGAAACGCAGCAAGCCCCGCCCTCCCTATCAACCAGAGACCTGGATCGCGAGCCCCGGATCCAGTCGACGGAGCAGCTACTCCGACGAGAGCGAAGAGCACGTCCGGGAGCTGGAGGAGATGATGGAGGACTTTAATTTCAGCTGGATGTCGGATAAATCCAGCATCGATCGAGTCCAGCGTCCGGGCATTCGGGCTTGATATGTTTTGTAAACGGTCTTTAAAATTGGGAGGCACTCTTTAAATTTCTTTTCCTCGTCACTCAGCACCAGCCGCATCTGCTTTGTTTGATCATGAACGAACACATCCTACTACCTGTCGTGTCGCCCAGTGAGGGCATTTCCTATATCTCGTTGTCATCCTCGCTCACTCGAATTTCCTACCCTAATCAGTCTGTGCTTGACTACTGCTTTGTTTGACGATACCATTTTGTTTGTGTCTATGAGTTATTCTTTCAATGCCGTTCTAATTCTAATCAGTATGATCGTACTGTAGCGTGTCACCAGTCCGTGTAGTTCAGCCGCGTGCCCTCTACAGGCAGAGGAGTCATTACAGCTTGCTCTTGAGCGGATGCTTCCAACTCACCAAGCCCTGAAATGGCTCTTCAGCAGGGATATAGTCCAGCACCCAGGCCTTTCTGATGCCCCGCGCGGCAGGGTAGTTGAGCAGATACCACTGGACGAACCACCACGGCATCACATACCGCGCCATGATATAAGACTTGACACCCTCCCAAGCATGCATGCGCGTGAGATCAGCCGACTGTTTCGCCTCTCCCCGCACGGGGATCTCGCGGGTCTTCTTATACGCCGCGAACAGCTTCCCCAGCGCCGCAGCATCCAGCATCCGGTCCGGCGCAGCCTCCAGCATAGCATGCAGCTTATTGCACAGCACGACAACATCCTGGATCCCGCTGTTAAGCCCGCGCCCCGCATTCGGCGTATACTTATAGCACGCATCGCCCGCCAGCACGATCCGCCCCCAACTCCAGTGCCGCAGCACGCCCTCCTCCAGATTCGCCATGCCAGCCGTCACCCTCGCCGCCCAGACATCCTTCACCTTCAACCGCCTCGAAATCGGATACTCCGCAAACCGCTCCACAAACCGCTCCATATCCGCCGCCGTATACACCACCCGCCGCCGGCTCGGCTCCGTCAGCCGCTCGTAGCAGAAGATCCAGCCGCGCTCGCGCCCCGTGATGAACATGACCGAGTGGCCCGCCGCCTGCGTCTCATAGTTCTTGCCCGCCCCCGCCTCCGCCGGCCGCGGAAAGCTGCACCACAGACACCGGTACGCCGCCGTGAACGGCGGCTCCGCGTCCCAGTCCGCCGCCCGCGCAGGGTCCTCTGCCAGCGCCAGCGCCCGCATCGCCGCCCGCGTCGCGCTGTGCACCCCGTCCACGCCCAGCACCATCGTCCCCGTATAGCTGCTGCCGTCGCCGCAGGTAACCCGCACCCCGTCGGCGGTGGACTCGATGTCCACGACGCGCTTGTTCAGCTGGTAGCGCTGTTTGGCGGGCGCCGGCAGTCCGTCGTAGAGCGCCTCGACGAGCTGCGCGCGGTGGAACGCGAGCGGGCCGCTCCCGTGGCTGCCACCCGTTGTTAGCGGAGATTTATAACCCTAAGGGGGCGGGCGTTTGTACTTCTTTCGCAGGATGCGCAGCGCAGGCGTGTCGGCGATGAGGCGGCCGTCGCGGGTATACGCTTTGCCGCGGTGCAGTTCGCCGCCGATCTCGCGGAGGCGGGGCAGCAGCCCCAGCTGGTGCATGACGCGGAGGCTTTGGGGGGCCAGGACGAGACTGGCGCCCTGGTCGAGGACGACGGAGTCGCGCCGCTCGAGCACGATGAAGTCGATGCCGGCGTGGTGGAGGGCGTGGGCGGCTGTTAGGCCGACGGGGCCGCCGCCGACCACGATGACTTTGAAGGGGGTTGCTGCTGCTGTTGCTGTCGTTGTTGTCATCGCATTGACGAGGTGATGGTGAAATTGGGGAGTCAGATGGATGGGCTGATGACGCGATATATATAGTTTGTATCAGCGTTAGCTGCCGAGGCTAGACTGATGGACTAGTTGTCTCTACCCAATGATAAGTCTACAGTGCAGGATGCGAATCCCCGCTGACTGTACGGCTATGCGGAGTTATCGGACTTGGTGAAGGCAGACGTGCTCTGATTGTGTACAGCTAATATGGTGGAATAGTCCTCAGGCCTCACCCCAGATCTCATCCGCAAGCTGCCGAACAAGAGCCAGCTTCTTCTTCTCATCGTCCAAACTCAGAGGATATCCGCTCTCGTGCGTGCTGAACCCACACTGCGGGCTCACGCAAATCCGCTTCAGGGCGTCCTCGCGACTCTCGCCGCTGCCGGCGCTCACAAATTCGGCAGCCTTGTTGATGCGCTCCTTCATGGCCTCCTTGTCCTCCAGCTCGCGCAGCTTGGTGCTGACGACGCCGACGACGACGTTCTTGTTCTTGGGCAGGAACTTGAGCGGTTCGAAGCCGCCGGCACGCTCGGTGTCGTACTCGAGGTAGAAGGTGTTGACGTTGAGGTTCTCAAACAGCTTCTTGGCGATGAGATCGTACGAGCCCTCGGCGAAGTGGCGGCCGCCGATGAAGTTGCCGCGGCACAGGTGGATGCCCGTGTGCATGTCGTCGGGGAGCTGGCTGAGACAGTCGTTGTACAGCTGGATGTAGGCGTCGAGCAGGTCCTCGACGCTGCCGACGTTGTCCGCGTCCTCGGCCCAGCCCTGGCGGAACGCCTTGGAGCAGAAATATGCCATGCCCGGGTCGTCGAACTGCACGTTGCGCAGGCCGGCCGCATACAGCGCGCCCAGCTCGGCCTGGTACACCTTGGCGACGTCGCGGAAGTACTCGGCGTCGTTGGCGTAGGCCGCGGGGGTGTACGCCTTGCCCTGCTTGTAGCGCATGTGGAACCACGCCGGCGTGATCATCGTCAGCTTGATGTGCCGCCATTCGCTCTCCGGCAGCGCCGCCTGCACCAGCCGCAGCTCGTGCAGGTTCGACCGCGACGTGGCCGGGTTCCAGGACAGCTTCGACCCGGCAATGACCGAGTCACCCGGCATCACCTTGCGGTCCTTTTCGATCAGACTCACGACGTCTGGATGGTAGAGGCGGAACATGGACGCCTCGGCGTCTTCCAGCCGGATGGTTCCTGGCCGGCACGTCAGCTCGTGGTCTGCTTGCGAAGTAGTGTCTAGTACGAAGCAGGGAACATACCCTCAAACTCATCCCACATCTGTCCCCAGAAGCGCGTGCGGTTGTACTCGCCCGACGTCACGGCCTTGAACCCGAGCTCCCGCTGCATCTGGACGACGTCCTTAACGGCATCTTTCTCTATAGCCGGCAGGCCGGCGGCTTCCTCGGACACGCCCGTGGTGCGGATCTTTTCACGCACCTCCAGTAGATTGTCGGGACGTAACAACGAGCCCATATGCTCGGCCCGGAAGGGCGGGGCGCTGTGCAGCTTGCTGGTCATGTTGGTGGCTTAGAACTGATCAAGGACATGGATATTATCTACAAGAAGGTGATGGTCGAGGTGACAAGTGCGACCCTATGGTCTGGGAGGGGCTGAGTTCGGCATTTCCGACTGGAGCGATGCCGGTGTCGGTGCGGGGTCGTCAGGATCATATCCGACGAGGAGAACGGGGAGTTGTACTTTGTAGAGGAGCTGGGATCGGGACCCCCCGAGTCAGACATAGCGTGGGATGTAGTCGGTCGTACGGATGAATGAGTCGCTAGTCTTGGTAGTAGGCGTAGTACTAAGTACTAGTAGTGCTGAATAGAGGGTGTATAAGAAGTTAATTATTAATGATGCGTGCACAAGTCACGGTGGAGATTCACTGCACAATTAGTCATCCTTATGCATGTATCGGGCATGTTGATGTTGTCGATGTTGTTGATAGCGATCACTCCTCACGCTTCCACCCCTTCTGCCCCCTTCGACAATGGCTCAAACAACCGCGGTAAGCATCTCCCCCATGGCATCTCAGACTGCTCTGACGCCCTCCAGCTCCCCCAACATGTCACCGCTCTCCTCTCCCATCTGACCTCCCGCCCCGGAGTCCAATCCACCTTCATTCTCTCCCGCAAAGACGGCTCCATCATTCAATGCACAGGCTTGCTATCCTCTCCGTCAGGAACCAGTACCCCCAACACGGCGCCGACCAATTCCCCCAGCGACACATCAAACCAGCTCCCTCCGACGCCCGACTCAACCGCCTACGCCGCCGGCGCGACCGCATCTTCCACCGCACCCACATCGACCCCATCGTCGCAGGCGCAAACCCTAGCCGCCCAGGTGTTTGCCTTCGTCTCCAGTGCGTCGGAGCTGAGCATGTCGCTTTCGCGACCGGCCGCGGCGGGCGACGCCCAGGGGTCCAACGGAGAGGCCAACGGCGTGTCTGCGGGGTCGCGAGAGGACGCCGAGGGCGAGGCGTCGGAGAAGGAGGACGACGACGAGGTCAAGCTGTTGCGGCTGCGAACGAAGAAGCATGAGATCGTGGTGGTGCCGGATCGGAAATACTTGCTCTGTGTGGTGCACGACGCGACGCATTCGGCTGGCGGCTCGGGGGGCGCGGGCATTCGCTCTTCGAGGTAATGATAATGTGGATTAGTGGTTTGTATTTGGAGTCTTCTCTTGGCTGGGTTGTTTGGTGTCGCTGGCTGGCTTGTGCATTGTCCGTACAGTTGTTTCCATAGAATATACCCCGTTGGACGCAGGCTGTTTATAGTGTGTTTGTGTTGGTTCAGTGCATCTAGTAGTTTATATTGTGTCTATATCTCAGACCGAGTCTTATCGGTTCATGTCCATATCTGGCGCGGAATGGAGCCATCGGCAATCGGATCCTCCATATCATCCACTTTACCCCTCTTCGTCTCGACAGAGCCGTCTACATCAGTGTCCACCTCTTTTTCACTTGTCTATATCCTCCGTGTATATACTTACAAAATGTCCTTTGACCTCGCTGCAGCTCGCTCCCGCTTCCCTGCGCTGAACCAGGAGCAGGTGTTCCTGGATAATGCAGGTATGAACTCATATCTTCGGACCCTCCCTACTACGTACTGACACTGTCCAGGAGGAAGCCAAGTCTTAGACACAGTGATTCAATCGTAAGACCTGCACCCATGGTAAGACCACGCTAACGTGATAGAATCACGGACTATCTGTCGGGCTGTAATGTGCAGCTCGGTGCGACATACAAGACCTCCAAGGCGTCGACCGCCGCATATGACGAGGGCTATGCAGCAGCCGCCCGGTTCATCAACGCAAAGTCCGAAGAAGTATGCTATTGAATACCCCGAATGAGACCTGACATCTCGCACTCGACCTAATCATCTTCATAGATCTGCCTCGGCGCATCAACCACCCAGCTCCTCCACAACCTCTCGACGGCAGTCAAGTTCCAGCCCGGCGACGAGGTCATCGTGTCAAAGCTCAACCACGAGGCCAACTCGGCGCCTTGGGTCCGCATCGCCGAGCGCCTGGGTCTGCAGGTGAAGTTCTGGTCCGCTCGCGACCCTGTCAACGCCGTCTGCGATCCCGACGACCTGAAGCCGCTGCTGTCGGAGAAGACCCGCCTGGTGGCGTGTCCGCATACGTCGAATTTGCTCGGATCCATCGTGGATATCAAGGCGATAGCGCAGCTCGTGCATCAGTTTCCTCGCGTAAGCGGCATCGGGTTGGTTCAGGGCAGACTCCAGCTGACAGACTCAGGCTCTCCTCTGTGTTGATGGCGTGGCGCTTGCGCCGCATCGCCAGGTGGACGTGAAGGATCTCGATGTGGATTTCTACGTGAGTTGTCCGGGGTGTCAGCCATGACAGATACTGATGGCGTGCAGGCATTCTCGTGGTACAAAGTGTACGGCCCGCATATTGCGCAATTGTACGCCTCGGCCCGCGTCCACGACCAGATTGACTCCCTGGGACATTTCTTCAAGGCCACCGACACGCTGGACCTGAAGCTGAACCTTGCATCGGCCAACTACGAGCTCACGCAGAGCATTCCGCGCGTGGTGGAGTATTTCGGATCGGACGTCGCGGGCGCGTGGGAGGCGATTGCGGCGCATGAGGAAAAACTGCAGGGGATTCTGCTGGATTTCCTCAACAGCCACGAGCGAATCACGGTCTACGGCGAGACGTCGGCAAGTCGGGAGCTGCGTGTGCCGGTGATTAGTTTCACGGTGCGCGGGGCCAAGAGCCAGGGCGTTGTGGAACAGGTCGAAAAACGGTCGCCGTTTGGGTTCCGCAGCGGGCATATGTATAGCCTGCGTTTGGTGAAGGACATTATGGGGTTGGAGGATCCGGATGATGGGGTGGTGCGGATCAGCATGCTGCACTATAATACTGGTGAGTTGAGTGGATTGTGAAGTGTGAGCGGTGCTAACCAGTGCAGAGGAGGAAATTTTGAGACTGGTGCAAGTGTTGAAGGAGGTTGTTGATAGTGTGTGAGCTGTGTATCCTGTACAGGTCTTCGCCACCGCTTCAGGACCGATATGGCCTAGGTCGAAAATACCATTCATGTGCGCATTCGTTCCTGCATACAGACCATCTAGATGGTCGATTTACAGGAGTACGTAACTTGTGCGACCCGATCGGCTGGATGGGAATATTGGGTCGATCCAGCCCAGCACAATCCTTGGGACGAATCTATACAATGACCAACTTAAACCAAAACAGCCTGCTTCGTTCTATTGTCGACAGCAATTCCCAGTTGGATGATGCTGGACGATGGAAAGAACCGAATGTATGGACCTGCGTCATTGTGTACATGAGTCCTGCATCAGGGGAGTGACATCAGCGGGCTCTGCTTTTGGGCGAATTCTATTAGTGCTGACGCCTCCCCTTGCATCCAGGCCCCCAGTGCTTTTCTTTCTTCTAGAGCATGATAGATCTCCGCTTCCCCTGCCCGCTTGAGATTATTCTCAATCGTCCTTTCTCGGAATTCTCTGCTCTGCATTCACCCATCACCGCGCGATCGCTCGTGCCCTGGATTCTGTTCCTCATCGCCACTGTGACAACAGGCCTCCCTGCCTGTCCTCGCTCCTCGGCCTCAAGCGTCGTGTCTCTGACCGAAGAGACATTCCGCCATTTCATGGAAGAAAATCCGCTCGTTTTGGCCAATTTCTACGCGCCATGGTGTGGCTACTCCAGACAGTTGGCCCCCAAATTCGAGGCCGCTGCCGAAGAGCTGAAATACGACGACATCCCTCTGGTCAAGATCGACTGCACTTGGGAGGAAGACCTGTGCGACCAATATCAAATTCGTTCAGTTCCCACCATGATGGTGTTCCGGGGCCCTGAGTCGTTTGAGCTGTACGAGGGCAGTCAGCAACCTGAGTCGCATGCAACCACTGGCTGGCGCACCTCTTGAACATACTGATCTTCATGACAGGATTATCTCGCATATGATCGACGAGGCTGGTGGTGATATCTGGGAATCCAATGCCCAATCCTATGATTGAGGAGCATGGTATACATGGGTGGGCCGACAAGCATGTCATTACGGAGTATGATTTCTGGGTCTATGTATCAGGGTCCCTTGCATGATATGAACGGAGCTTTTATACAATGATACATATCTCTACCTATATGACTCGGTGGGAAGTCAGCGTTTGAGCTGTTTATGTCTACTTAGACATGGACAGGCCTTTTTGATAGAGGTCTTGTCAGTTCTGGTCACCATGTTGAGAGGAAAGGGCAAATGCCCTGGTAGTCAATATATCGAATGAGGGCAGATCCAGGAGCCCTTAGGTGGTAGGGTGGGGGCGATCAATCAGGAAGAGTCGTGATCATGGAGTTTTTGACTCTGCTCTACTATTCTACTACCGGGTGTCCTCCTAGCCGTGGGAGATAAGGAGTAACAGGCACCGTCAAGAGTAGAGAGAAGGGTGTATTCATAACTATTTATGGCCTGCGTCCATTCAGGGGCCTAGGTAGAGAAAAGAAACATTCTCTCGCTAGTGTCTCTGCCGCGATCTCATTTCGAAATCACCTCGAGAATTGAACTTAGCCGCAGAGTCTCAGTCCTTCTATCCCCCACAATCAATCTTTCGCTCCGCTATAGCTGATCCGCCTCATGTAATGATCTGCCCCAACGTGTTCTCCTGGGAGCCCCATTAGGCCAGGTTGGTGAAATGCACAGGAGAGCTAGCGCTGGTAGTTGCTCTCAGGCTCAGCAAGTCAGGACGCGAGTAGTGACCGACTACATCCAGGTTATGCTTGGCAAGAGCCTTCTTGTGCAGGTCGATGTCGGCGTATAAAATGCCCTCCTCTCCGGGAGGGAGGGGCTTTACCAGTTCGGCACCGTCAGGTCCAAAGATGCGGCTAAAGCCGCCACCAGGGGTCTTTGCGTACACGAAGTCACTGAGCTCGCATTTCTCGCGAGACTTCTCCGTCAGGATCTGCGTGCACACCAGCACAAACGTTGCTCCCTCCAGCGCCATGACCTGCGAGAGTCGAGCAGACATCTCCCCCGTAATGTGGTACTGCCATGCCATTTCCTTCTCATCTGGCATCTCCCAAATGAGTGGCCAGCTGGCGACATGGATATCGACATCCTGAGAGTACTCGTAGTATCGCAGGAGAGGTTGCGAATGCTCCCAGCAATTCAGTCCACCGACCTTCCCAAAGGGAGACGCAACAACGGTCTTCAGGGAATCTGCCTGACCATCGCCGTAGTACGCGCGTTCCACATGGGTGGGCTTGATCTTGCGGCGGTGGTGGACGATGGATCCGCTGGGGTCAATAAAGGACTGTATCACACCATTATTAGTCGAAAAGGAAACATCTTCAAATGTAGCCCTTGGCTTTTCTTATACATACCTGCGCAATGTAAAGACTGCCCTGGTAGCGCTCGCTATATCCGAGCACAACGAAAATACCAGCCTCCCTCACTGCAGCCCGGATGCGGTCCATCTGCTCGGATTCCCTCTCCAGCGAGTTGCGGAAGTACTCATCCATGAATGCCGCACAGTCAATCACAGAGTTTGCCCAAATGCTCCTTAGAAATCTTAGCGTCAGAGTCGACCACAAGAGAGAACCTCATTAGAGTACACACCATGGGTAGCCAGGGATGAAAACCTCAGGAAACCCTAGAACATTTGCACCGTTCTGCGCCGCTTCTTGGATAAGGGCGATTGCCTTATCAACGCCCGCTTCAAGATCATTCCAAGCAGGTTCCGCTTGAATGGCGGCAACGCGGATAGGCTTGTCAGACATCTTTGGGGCTGAAAATGGGTTGGAAAGGGTTCCAGTAGTTGAGGTGTCTCCGAAATCTTCGATTGCTGAGCAATTGTCAGTCAGATTGGAGTCCGTGGAGGTTATCCAACTCGATGGACTGGCTGCTTTTATACCTCTTCCCTTCCAAGATGCAAACGCAGAAAGTTGATCTGAACATTGCTATCGGTGGTGACGCAACCGGGACCGGTCCGTATAGCCTATCGACTGTGGAAAAGCTAATGGCGACAGTAGCACTCTTCAGGACATGATTATCTATACCCCTAGTTTTGTAACTACCTATGCAACGGTGTATATCTGACAAATGGCGCTGATAGGGGGCCTTGTAACAATCACAGCCATTACTTAGACATCAATTTCATCGTTCTCTCAATGAAGGCTCTCCCGTTTTATGCCATGCATCTGGATATAGTATTAACGGGTACCCTGCGTCGGCGACTGGGCATAATACCTTTCGTAAAAGGACCACTCTAGTAGCTCTGCCCTCCCACATGGCATTACTCCGTACAGATTAATTCTAAAATTATCCAATAGTAATGCTAATCTACAGTGGGGGGAAGAAGCTTCCACTGTAGCTCCACTGTAGCTGCGGATCCATAGATAAGATATAGCAGGCAATGGAGATCCGGTCCGGATATCCTATCTCGCTCGAGCAGGTACAACCGTTTGAGCTGTTGCTCCCTATAAAACATTATGGAACAGCGACTCAATAGTTCCAAAGATGCTCCTCATTTGATATCCCCAAACAATCATAATCCAGAGTCTCGGAAATAGGCGGTCCGTTAGGGCCGGCCGGCTCAAGCCACAGCCCACACCCCCTGGAGTGTGAGAAGACCATCTTATGTACAAAGCTCTGGAGCTAATAATACTGGCGGCTTTCCTCTTTGTCTCTACTGGTATCATGGTGTTTGGTGTTCATAAAACTTCGCTCAATGGCCCGGGGCCCTGGGCTCTGACTTTTATGGAGTAGAAAGTTGATGCTTACATGCTTCCACGGGAAAGCACACTGTCGCTGGAGTGGTGGTTTTTATATGGCACTCTGCTAACTTGGATTGCCTGTTTCATCCGTTTGTAGAGTGTCCTGATGGCCAGGATCATCTTCCCCACAACATAAACCTGGAGAGTCTGTCCCTGGAAAATAGTGCATTGTATTTGTGCAAGGGTATGAACACTATGGGACATGTACAGCGACAATTGGAAGCAATGAAAATTTATAAAAAGATCAGTAGGACCTTGCATCTGGAGACAGATTAACGTCCATGCATTTTCAGCACATCGAATCAACCTGATTTCAGGCCTCGGTGGATTCTTCATTTGCCAGCCCCGAAGAAAATTGGGCAAGGAACATGTTCACGGTAGCGTCTCCCTCAAGCCCCTGTGACATGATGCTATAGTCCACAAGTGACCATAATAATTCCGATCCAATTGGGTCATCTGATATATTTTCATCGTCGTCTCCGAGTAGATAAGTGTATTGACTGGCCGATTTAGAAAATCTCTCCAAGCAAGCCGACTATAAACTGATCAGTAGAGCTCTCATTTCCGAAGGAGGGTTCTAAACAAGTTCCAGTTATGACTGGACACCAACTTACCATTTCTTTGGCATTGTTCCAGAATTTTGAAAGAAACCTCAGATGATTGAGAGATCTTGTGAGGTTATCCAGATGTCTCGACCGAGCCACAGCATCGGCGGTGGCTGAGGCCTTGGTCGCATGAAATGCACCGGCCAAGACGCAGCAGTAGCCACTGAAAGAAGAAACTACGCAAAGGCCAGAATTTTGAAACTCTTCAATGACGTCGAGGATTTTGGTAGCGGAATCTTCGGCAATCCAAAACGCACACGAAAGGAAACCCGCCGGGGCCTTCACGCCCATAAGCTCCAGACTTCTCCTCAAAAGGAAGGGATGATTCAGGATGCACTTGCAAAGATGGCTAATGAGCCGGGCAACATAGTGATGGGCAACTTTGTGTGGAATCACGTGGCCGTAAGTAACCCGTTGCTGCGTCAAAATCTCGGCCAAGGGGGTTGCGAGGGATGTTGCATTGTCTATCCGGAGAAGATCCGAGCAGATGGAAAAGTGCTCCGACTGCGGATCCCAAGGGGGATGTAGCGATGGAGAGTTATTCGCGTGGAGCATAACGTTGGTACAGCGGCTCAATATAGATGCAAGGCGAATCACCAGTGCAAATGGACTGATCACTTGAACACTGTCCACATTGTGACTTGCGAGCATACTCAGAGTAGGCATTACTTCGATTTTCCCAAAGTCCCACGTTTCCTCGGTACCTGGAAGCTGGATATTGCAGGAAGATTCTGAGATGGCGACAGGCCGGTCTCTACCGCAGGATATGAGACGTTCAAGCAGAAAAACTGACCAAAATGTCCGTCGCTGTTCCTCTTGCTCCGTAGGGCTGAGGAAGAGATAACTTGCTTCATTCATCAGTCGAAGGTCTTGTGCGATACGAACTGATATTCCAATCTTAACCCAAGCGAGGCGATTTCTTCTACCGCCGGCTGTGAAATGTGCAGCGTCAGTGACCCCGAACTGACTTCAATGCGGACACTCGAAGAGAAACCGAGACAAACCTGTGAAATCATATATAGCTAGTAATGTAATGGCTTGTACCATTGCTAGGCTGATGTTATCCGGTGACCCAAAACATAGGGGCACCAGCAGTTGCCAGGCTCGGTCTGCGTATGTCTCCGCTAACTGACGGGAGTATGCCGAAGCGAAGAAATCATTCGGAAACTGGAGCGTAAGCGCAGCGATGGCAAAAAAGACGTATTGAGGAAGCCTTGCGCACAGAATATTCTGGTACAAGGTGCTCTCCTGAAAGAAACTGTAGGGTTGGTTATGACAATATTTGAAATAATTGTCAATCAAGGCCCGTGCCACTTCATGCGATATTGGGAATCTGCCCGAAAAATTCACCATCAGACGATGATCCGACAAAGAGGGGAAGATCTAGATCGCAACATCGAAAAAAAAGAGGGCGGTGCTCAACATACAGTTCATCGTTGGCTTGCAGCATCCTGGGCTGAAGTATACCGGGTTCGCCTAAAGCGCCGGGTGGTGGGTATGCAGCCATCCTGGGTGTCACTATTAGCAAGATATCCAATTCAGAACTTGGAAAGGGTGAGTGTACCTAGTAATCTGCAGATCCAGATCTCTCAATCGTCCGTCAATACTGTCCAATCGGGCGGACAGCCAGTGGTTCTGATTATAATAATGTCAGCATTGAAGACTCCGGAAGTCCCCAAGGGCTCTTTACTTCTGCTCCCACTCCCGCGTGATGCTGTGATGTCCTTGTCTGGCGCCCATCGCTTGGATAATGGCATGCCTGTGAGAGTCTCCGACAACTGCGACACTGGGGTCGTTCCCCCGTACACCTTGCTTTTTTGCGCCTAGACAGTCTCTGAGAATCTGGGACCGCTGAATCCAGAAACAGAATGGAACCAACCGGCAACTTGTACATGCGAGGCTGATGCGCCGGATGGGGCTAAATGACGGGGACTGTATTTGCGGCTTCTCGCGTTCGAAGGCAAGGTCATCGCTATCCATGATCGTGAGGTTTACTCCTTTGACTGATCTATAGGGGAAAGTCGAAGGTGTGGAGGATGAGATCGATCCGCGATCTCGATCGGGGAGAGCCACCTGTTTTGTAGGATAACTAGAGCTAGTGCAGAAAAGGCATCTCGCCCGGAAATACATGCCCGAGAGGATCGACACGTTGACGATGAGGACGATCCGAGCGATATACTCCAGACGGAGTAGGGCTATACGGAGTACTCCGTACAGCCAAGGGTCCGCTCGAGCCAACCAGGTTCCGCTTTCGGGGCCGATGGGCAACCTTAGATAAGGCGAGCCAATAAGAGGGTAGCCTTTGAGCCGAGAGCTTATCAACTTTCCGATCCTGAAGACTTTATTTTACGGAGTAACTACTGTACGGAGTATGACTTCTTAGGTAACCCATTTATTTGGGTAGGTAGGTTAGTACCTTGCATGATATGAGCGGAGTATTCATACAATTACCTACTCCGTATATACCTCGGTACCTCTACTATCCCCTCGTCTGGCAAACCCCGCGATAGTGTGCCAATGGGCCCTTTCTCGCTTTGTCTATTGGCCAATTGCCCTACCGCCTAATCTTGCCGTCGTAATTCAACGCGTCGATCAATGGGAATTCAGGCGGTGAACACTACTGGCTAATAGACCACTATCTCGGGATTTGCCAAACAGCCAGACGAGGGGATAGCCATATCCCATGTGCAACAGCAGTTGGGATGATAATTGACAAGCTGCGTAATGGCCAATGGGTTCCCGGACGCATCTATAACAGCCAGCCAACCCGTCCCCATCTGCACTGCAACGCTGGCCATGCTGATGCATAAACTACCAGCCAGTGGGCTTCGAACTTGGAGCACCAGCCGATATCTGGTGGCGCACATGAATCATCCCTAATCGCTGCATGCGGAGATTGATTGCTTGCACTTGCAGATGATGCTTCAAGATCCCAGAACAATCAAGGATCTAAAGTACGTACCCCGCAGCCTCGTAACTTGGATTTGTTTGTCTCTTATATATGCCCCCATCTCCCTTGGGCATCGCCTTCTCTGCCCTCTTCATATCTATCGTCGAACTGCGCACAATGTCTCCAATCCTCATAGCAACTGCTATCGGGCTGGTTGCATTTTACGTGTTGAAATGGGTCTCTACGAAGAGATTGCGCGTAGCTTTACCCCCAGGGCCTCCACGAAAGCCACTCATTGGTAATCTGGGGGACCTGCCATCGCATACAGACAAGGCCTGGGAGTACTGGCTCAAGCACAAAGACCTCTACGGTGAGTTGCTGATCGCGGATATCAGTGACCACAGCGCTGATCTGTATGTCCACAGGTCCAATCAGCTCCCTAACGGTCTGCGGCCAAGATATCATCATCATCAATGATGCTCACATCGCAGTGGACCTTCTAGAGAAGCACTCATCTGCCCATTCGTCGAGACCACATGCCACTTTGGTAGAAATGTACGCTTCGTTACCTGATCGAGCCTTGCCCATGCTGACCGCGCAGGGCCGGATGGGAAGATATCCTAACATCCGTCCCATACGGCGATCACTTCCGCGCTATCCGCAGAGCGTTGCACCAGGAGATTGGCTCTAAGGTGTCTGTCGCCCGATTCAACCATATACAGGAGGTGGAAGCGCGGCGCTTCCTCTTCCGGGTCCTGGACGACCAGAAAAGCCTCGTCCATCATATTCGAAAGTAAGTACTGCCGCCCTCTACTTAATCCATGCATCTCACCATCGTCAGGGAGGTCGGTGCCATCGTCCTCAAACTCGGGTACGGATACACGATCGAGCCGCATAAGCGGGACCCGCTGGTAGACCTAGCCGACAGAGCCATGGAGGAGTTCTCCTTCAGTATATTGCCAGCAACCTGGGCAGTGGACTTTCTGCCATTCTTGAAATACCTCCCAGCTTGGCTCCCGGGAGCAGAGTTCAAGAGGATGACAGCAACGTTCAGAAAGACCGCAACGGCCTTCAGCGATCTTCCGTACGCGTTCACAAAGCATCAAATGACCCAACCGAGTCATGTGCCATCGTTTCTTTCTCATCAGCTGGAGAAAGGCATCCCTAGGCCTCGGTCTTCGGAAGAAAAGGTGGCAAAGTGGTCCGCTGCATCGCTTTACGCCGGTGGAACAGACACGGTACGCACCGACAAACATATGACCGATGACCGTCCAATACTGACGAAATAGACGGTGTCCACGATGACTGCCTGGTACATCGCAATGGCTCTATTTCCCGATGTGCAACGAAAGGCACAGGAGGAAATGGACCGCGTAACCGGGGGCAATCGCTTACCCAGCTACGAAGACCGAGAAAACCTACCCTACATCAACGCGATGATCAAGGAAAGTGTTCGCTGGCACTCGGTTGTCCCGATGAATGTAGCACATGTCTCTATCCAGGACGACTCGGTCGGAGAGTATGCCATCCCCAAGGGGACTCAGATTGTCACAAATCTCTGGTGCGTTCCCTCCGTCACCACATATATCCCTCGTTTGGGGAGTCAACTCACCGATTCCAGGGCCTTTACCCACGACCCAAATATATACCCTGACCCGATGGCTTTCAAGCCAGAAAGATTCATAGACACTGCAACCCACAAAGCGGAGCGCGATCCATATTATTATTCATTTGGATTTGGACGCCGTGTCTGTCCCGGTCGTACCCTAGCAGACGCGAACATTTACATCACCATGGCTTTGTCAGTAGCAGCATTTAACATCAGCAAGCCAGTCCGAGATGGAAAGGAAGTTGAGGTCAAGCTGGACCCGCAGCCAGGGATCATCTGTCATCCAGCACCGGTTGAGCTTGACATTAAGCCTCGGAACCAGGTAATCGAGAGACTTATTCGGGCTGTTGAGACTGATTATCCATGGGAGAAGAGCCACGCGGAGTTATTGACTAGCCTGCCTTACTAGGTGTAGCGCTAGTCAATTTTGCGTATTTAGTGTAGCAGCATGGTGTATTGCTTTCTATTTGATGTCATCGTTAGTGTGTTGAGATGAACGGACGTTGTAGTTCAACATAGAGTGAGCGTCTCTATTCATGAAGACAGCCAATACCCTGATATAATGAATGAATGTGCTCACCTGAAGGTTCAGGCCAGGCCAGACTCCCGAGATGGCGGTGGAGTATATCCAGCACCTCCATCATATAGTACTGGGTCTATTCGTAGTCGCAGACCAGTGGCCGGCAAGAATAGAACGAAAGGCAAATGGCCAGCACAAGCCTAATATATGAATGGATAGCACTTTGTAAGGATAGCCGCATCCGCAATTCTATCACTTAACTAGGTTACAAAAGTAAATTCAGCGAATAACCTGATTTATGTACAAATATACCCCGGAGAATATCAGATGCCATGATCATCGCATTGCTGAGGACCGGATGAGGCCCCAGAAAAAGGAGTATAGTCAAAGGTAGGATCATCGGGCATTGTGAAATTAAGCTGCATATGTGGATATAGATTCGAACCCATGAGTGAAGATCGCGTCCTTGGACTCAGGTTTTCCGGCATGTCCAGCATGACTTCAGACCCAAAGGAGATATCCTGTCCAGGGAATGCCGGAAGCCAGTCATCCAGGTCCCGCCAATCCTCGGCTAGAAGGTCCCGGCCTGGTGAGAAGCTGGAAGATGGACGTGCGAATGTAGAAACTGATGCGTCATCCATCGTCAGGTCTTCGCCGTTTCCCACAGTGTGTTTTCCGGATGGTCCCGGCGAAGCAGGGGGTTGGCCATGCGCTGGCGGATTGCTGGCTGGAAAGAGCGAATCAAGCTGCTTGGACACTTGTCTGTCCAGGATCTTCTTTATTCGGGACCGAATGATGTCAATGCTTCGATTGAGACCCGGCATAGTAGTAGACGTGCGTTGGAGAATATCCAGCAAGAACTTCAGCTCCGTCCACACGACTTGGTCGGAAACGCGGGGTTCTCCCTCCGAGGTTTCCAGTTGGTATACTGCCGTTGTCGCTGCCGTGTACGTGCAATAACTGTTCATATAGGTAATGTGTTGGAAGCCAAAGGTCTTGGTATACATTTGCAGCAGGTGGTAAATAGTAGTCGTTGCGGAACGACAGACTTTCCAGCTCTTTTGCGCCGCGTCAGAGTCGCGCGCCTGTCCACTAACGACATAGGGACGATGCAGAAGAATCAGGGTAGTATGGTACATTAAGTTAAGGGATGTGATGTGAGGCGGGGGGCTGATCTCCGGGATCTTGTCGGAGGGTATCTGCAGAAACAACGGTAGGGCTTTGTACCATTCGTGCAGGTCCCGGTCGATCGTCACGAAAGCCGCCGCCCGGGCGTCTAATGATGAACTTGGGTGGTTGATAGGCTGCGGGCTATAGAGATCCAGCATCACCCGCGATATAAAGACGCACAGTTTGCACAGTTGCGTGAAGCAAGAAACCACGTGCCCTGGGGTCGGAGGGTAAGATGGGCGTTCGGCGGACGCCGGCTCAGGCCCGTAGAACGGTTCCCACAGGTCCTCTTCTGTAAAGTCGTCAAGGAACTCTAGCGAGACGTTTTCGGCGCCCATGGTGAAATTGGGCATTCTGCCCAGGTACAGGCTGATGTGTTTATCCCAGGCGTACAGACTCCAGAACAAGCGTTTTCGAATCTCGACGTCTTCTGCGGACAGCGAGGTCGAGTGTCGTTGCAGGTCGTCGGGGGAAACGTGTAGTCCCAGGTCAATGGCCATGCGAAAGGCCATGCCGGAGTAGAGCCATGCTGCTGAAGAGCGCCCACAGGCTATATCTCGAGCAGATTGCTGCAACAACGCTTGGATGGTGGGAATTGCTGGGGGATTGAGCGTCTCCAGCGCGAGTAGTGCCTTGGCTTCCGACATGAGGCGGGTACTGAACTGGGAAAACGTCTCCGCGTAATTATCGGGGCTCCAGAATGCCTCCGGGGCGCGGATGAATCGACAGCTATGAGCACACAGGACCTTGAAGAGAGTGGCGGACCAGTACTTGGCTTTCTGGCCATGCTGGGCAGACCGAAGCATATCCCTCGTAAAGGCTGGTCGATACACAAATAGGAAGCTCGGATGAAGCCAGCACCAATGTAATTGGAGCAGTATGGAAGTCACTTCCGGCGGCACGTCAGCCTGCGGCGAAATTGCGCTGGCGTTCAGGAGCTCGAGGTTCTTCTGAGCCACCGCATTGGCAACAAGGCTGTGTCTGATACTGGCGGTAGACTGCTTGGTCGCTCTGGATGCCAACGATTCGGATGTGGGATGTGACGATTGACGGGATGTGTCCGGTGGACCTTCGTGGATGGCAGACGTCTGGTTGTGGTAGCTCAAATCTCCCTCTGCGTGGAAAGATATAGAGTCCCCGTCGTGTCCGTTGAAGACAGAGCTCAGTACGGTGGCTGAAGGAGACGAATCTGAGTCTCTCCCTCTGGCTTCCAATTCTCGGATCCGCGCCTGTAAGGAACGGACATACGCGAGTGACGGCGCTTTTTCATACTGACAAGTCGAGGCACTGGCCACACACGCCGAGCAGCTGGGGGACGCTCCATCACATTTTGTCTTGCGACGACGGCAAGAAGAGCAGACCACTTTCTGATGACGGGCCATCGTGGTAGCGGTGGATGTCACTACACGAGGTATTCTGTATGTTAAGCACTGAAAGATGTGGAAAGCGGTCCACGTGATGTGGGGAGACGCTAAGAACTATGATTTATGCGGGGAATTTAAGGAATTTAAGCACTAAGTTCGGGATTCCATGGCTTCAAATGCCGAGTGTTCCTAAACTATGATGGAGACATGCAAAGCATGGGCTCGAATTCACCGACTAGTGCTACTATAGTCTTAATTCTTCACTAAGAGCGAGGATATGTTCATATTCTACGTCCGTAAAACGTTATAATACATATCGGAAATCCTTGTTTTCAAACTCCGTGCGATCCTGCATACCGGCTTCGTCACTGCGAGCCTTGTCGGCAGGGCCGTAGTGGGAATCCCGATGGCGGTTGACCAGAAACATATAGGCTACACACAGATCAGTATGGACAATGCTAAGGATATGGTTGAGTCGATCGACGTACCAAACAATCCCAGATGGCAGCCTGCTTTGATCGCATACCCGACGAGCAGACCGATGGTGGCGCCCTTGTATTCTGGCGCTTCGGATGGTTTCACGACAAAAGGCCCGGCAAAATTACCCCAGCAATAGGCAGTACTATCGATCATTAGCAGCTCGCCCGAGAAATGTCAAACGTAATCAATATGAGCAGTAACGAGACTTACAACACCAGAGCATTTGCCATAGCCCTGTGGGTATAGCCGGCCATGTTGGATGAGATCGTGACCAGGGAGATCGTAAATCCCACCGACTGTGTGTTAACCAGCCAGAAACAAGCCAGTCTAGACCACGTTTTCTCTCGAGGGAGATAGGCCATGCACGCAGCTGACACCGTACACAAGATATTCGCAGCCGTTGATGTGAGCAGTCGGCTATTCGGGACATTCAACGTTATGGTGCCGCCAATCATCAACGCCACGATGAGTACTGCATCTCCGACGGACTTTAGCTCAGTAGTTTTCGTGGTAGAGAAACCCATGTCTTGGATGATAATCGTCGAGAAGGAATTGACAACACCGTTTGGAATAGCGGCGGCAAATACCGAGATAAAGATCAGGATTGCTTTGGGGTCCGTCAGGGCGACCAGCCCCTGGCGCGTGTCGAACGATTTGTTCTTGATACCCGTCTGGTTAGCGGCCACTCGTTTGATAGCGATGATGCGCTCCGGCTTGGTCAAGAAGAACGCGGTGGAGGGGGAGTCAGGCAGGACAAAGAAGATGACCGCAGCCCAGAGACAAGTAGCAGCCCCAAGAATATAGAACAGCAACTCCCAACGCGGGGGCGAAAAGTCCACAGGCAGTTTGCTGATACCGAAGGAGATATATGAGCCGATGATGCCGCCCCAGCCCAAGGCAGAGTACCAAATGCATTGGCGCAGAGGGATCTCCTGGCGGGTATACCAGAAACCGGTCATCAATGTGAGTCCGGGGGTGACAGCGGCCTCGAACAAGCCCATAATGAAGCGAACTGCGAGAGCGCTTGAAAAGGTCCGGCATTGAGTCATTATAATGACCATCAAGCCCCATAGAAGACAACTCAGTCCTAGAACACGTTGTGCTGGAAATCGGCCCACGAGCCATCCACAGGGATATTGGCCAAAAAAGTAGCCTGCATAGACCACTGGCAAACGATCAGTGTCCGTCGTCTGTAACGGGCCCGATCTCGGTATACTCACTGGCAGAGAGATAATTGAACTGCTGACCATGGAGGCCGAGGGTCTTCTGGTATCCGAAGAGATTTGCGTAGTTCAAGGCCGTCTTATCCATGAACTGCAAAGCTTGCGTCACAAGGAAAATCGGAAGAACCACAAGGTCAATCTTCCAACGAACCCGAGAGTTCTGGATATGATTAGCGACTGAATAGGATTATTGCAACGAATACTGTCAAACGTCCGGCCTCACTTACTTCTCGTTTGGTGAGTTCGATAGAAAGCCCCTCTCGATATTCCTTGTATCCAACAGCATTTGCCTAGCGATCACTGCTTAGCAAACAATCCTTGCTCGACAAGTCATCATATCAGCTCGTCAGGAAGCATACCTCAAAGACAGAAGTTGCCTTGGCCTCTTCAATGTCATCAGGGCGCGGGGGGCCCTCAGCAAAGCCTGCCTGCTCGATGTGCATGTCGCTGGAAGTTTTCAGCTTCGGTGGCATAGACATCACGGCAAGGAGGTTCAGGAGTCTGTCATTCGGGGGATCGCTTTACAGCTATCTGGGGCTATTCAGTGGGGCCCATGTTGATACTTATACACCCCTGGTCTGGAGTTTATGCTCTGGGGTGGTGAACAACCGCGTGGGGAAATTCCCCGCAGATTTTGGCGGCCAGATTCCGTGAACTATAGGGAACCGGGGGCCCGGCGAATGCCCGTATGGTGGACCCAGATCCCGAGGTTGAGCAGATATGACAGAACAACAGCAGATAAATGGCCCATATACAGCACAGGAATCCTAGAGGATGTGTTAAAATTTAGTATCAGTCAAACCTACATTGAATTTCGTCCCTGTGCTATGTCATCTTCCGACAATACTTCCAGTCGCAAGGGCTGGCTGGCGGAACCATCTGGACCATGTTGTCTAAAGGGAACCCTTCATAAAGGAACACCGCGTGGCCAGTTTGTTATAGTCGCAGGAGTAGAGACATATCTCTCGCGCCCCCGAGAATCTCAATCAAATGGCCACATCTTGTTATACTTCCCCGACGTTTGGGGCATGTTCCCCAACGGGCTCCTGGTCATGGACGCCTTCGCAGATGCAGGATATCTGGTTCTAGGCCTGGATTATTTTCGAGGGGTATTTCCACCCGTTTCTACGTCCTCGTCTTGCGGTTGGCTCGTCTTGGATCTAACTTGGTGGCCTACAGGACCCCGTTTGGAAACACCGCCGTAATCGCCATGACCGGTCTAACCCAGACTTTGACTATGAAGCGTGGAAAAGGAAACACATGCAATTTGCAGACGAAGCGGTTCCGCGATGGGTTGATGAAGTGAAGCGCACGTACGGTCTTCCATCCACAAAGTACGCCTGTGTTGGGTGAGAATAACAGAATAACCAAATAACCCTGTTAAATTGCTTTCGCCTAACTCGTTCTATACCACAGGTATTGCTTTGGTGCACCGTACGTCTGCTCCGAATTGGCCAAAGGCACTGTCAGTGCTGGTGCATTTGCCCATCCGGCATTCTTGAAGAAGCATCATTTCGCAAATATCAAGAGTAAGAAGTCGTCTATCAGTGGTCCGGCCACGGAACCAAGATCTGATTGAGAAATACAGAGCCCCTTTATCTATCGTGCTCTGAGGAAGATCATACATTTAATCAGGAGTCTCGCCGCACGGCTTTGCAGATCTTGCAGGCCGGGAAGAAGACCTACCATCTCCAGCTTTTCTCTGGCGTCGAGCATGGCTTTGCTTTGCGGGGAAACATGGACAATGCTTATGAACGTGAGTGTTGTTCTTCGTTAATTCGAGATCAAGACATTGCTAGCTAATGATTTACAGGCTACGTGAAAGAACAGAGTCTGCAGGGAATTGTGCAGTGGTTCGATTTCTGGTTATCTCTAGAGGGTTCATCAAGCAGTCACCTTTGACATTGCGAGGACAGTATCAATAGTCTAGACTAGGTACTGCTTTTTCTTACTAGCTGCAAGAGTAGTAGAATGCATGAATTGTGTAGTATTTGTTATTGAGGCGAACTCACGTCATGGAGGCCCTTGAGGTCAAGACATAGGCGAAAAGAATTCCTAGGCTGCGACTGTTCTTTCGGTGAACTCCGACAACTTTTCAAGTATATACAAAGTAGATTCTAAACTCGTTAGATTGGTAGAAACATTAACAACACCTAAGCACAGAGCCTGAAGAATGGATCCAGGCTCCTTCTACGACAGGCTGCTCACACTTGCCAGGCATCAACTGTCACACAACTTAGTGTCTTAGTAGAGTATGCACTCTCCCCCCTCTCACCATTACTCTAGTCTCGATCTACCATTACCGAGAATCTACCGACATCCCCACCTCGGTTCGGTGTGGTGTCATCTCCGTCTCAATGTATCTCGCATCCAGTCGCATCTAGGGCCGGAAAACCGGCGAATGGCCGAACAAACCACAAGACGCCGGAGATCACGGAACTGGGTCCGGCTGTCGTCCATACTTTGATCGAAGAAGCATAAGCTCTGGAAGGGAACTTATAAGTGAGCACCGTGCGCCATGTGAGATCCAACTCTTGACTCGTTGAAACAAAACTCCCGCTCCTTCAACAAGATGGCATCCCCTAAAGCATTTGACTTCACTGGTGAAGTAGCAATTGTAACTGGTGCTGGATCTCGCCTGGCTGGTTAGTTTGTCTTTTGCTTCATTGTCTTCGAATCCACGCTCATGATTCCACAGGAGAGGTTGGAAACGGCCGTGCAACTGCAATCTTGCTCGCACGACAGGGCGCCAAGGTCGCCCTGGTAGACTACAATGTTGACTGGGCACAAGAGACAAAGCGCATGATTGACCTCGACGGTGGCCAATCCGTAGTTATCCAGGCGGACGTGACGGATGAAGAAAGCTGTAAAAATGCTGTGGCGCAGACCGTCGAGGCGTTCGGAACCGTGAACATACTGGTCAATATTGGTAAGCCTAAAGGAATTCTCGGTTAGACGCTGCTAATGCCATTCTCTTCCAGTCGGAGTTGGGGGTGTCATGGGAGATGCTACGAAACTTGACCTTGCAGCATGGGACAGAGACTTCAGGATCAACGTGACCAGCATGGTGCTGATGAGCCGACATGCCATACCGGAAATGAGAAAGAACGGACGCGGCGCGATCGTCAATATGTCCTCCGTCAGCGGTCGTACGTATTCATTCTTCAATTTCTTAAACTTACCTTTTGCATAACATACTGACCTGGAGTGCAGTCCTCGGTGGTAACCCTAGTCTGCTGTACCCTACAACGAAAGGGGCCATTATCCAGATGACTCGCGCTATGGCAGCGCAACATGGTCCTGAGAACATTCGTGTGAACTGCGTCTGCCCGGGGATGGTGTTTACTCCTATGGTTCGTGGCAGAGGAATGACAGACGAGATGCGCCAGGCTCGTATCAATCAGAACCTCTTGAAGCAGGAGGGGACGGGATGGGACGTTGGTTATGGTAAGTCTACTGGCAAGAGAACGGGGCCGGCATGGCTGACTTCGTTGCGTAGCAATTCTCTTTCTCTGCAGCAAGGAGGCCAAATGGATTACAGGCCTAATCATGCCTGTCGACGGAGGGGTGAGTGGATGATCCCTATGTCCGGCTTGAACAACCTGAGCTAATCTGATGCCTCTATCTACAGACGACAGCCGGCAAAGCAGACCGACCCGCCTTGAAGGCTGACACGCTCGCGGAGAACATTACAGGCATTCCCAACAAGATATGAGGCATGGGTGGCGTGGAACAGGGGAGCGCAATGAGTATAATTTTAAGCTATGAGGAATTCAATAAAAGAACTAGAACTTTTAGATGCATGATTTTTGGCCTATACCGCAGCTTCTCAACCTTTTTTCTAGACTCTATAGTGTCATAATCAAGTGCTCTGAAGCAAGCCGTAATCAAGTAGCTGACCTGATAGCAGCTTCACGGCTAGAGCTCCTTCGGCATGCTATGAGGACTACGTGTAGCTCGCCCCTGAGAGGGATTTCACCAACATGACTACAAGTCTCATCCTACCTGGTCTCCAGGCCTGAGCGCAGGACCTAAGACAGCTAGGGACTCGTCCGTGAGATCGACAGACAACTGCTGATTCCTGCGGGATACGGCCGGTAGCCTATATGGGCCGGTAAGTGCCCGGTGTACCCCTAACCTGTGCCGGCAATCGACCTATCCCGCGGCTGAGTCTCGGAGAAGGAGAAAGGTTTAGTCAAAATGATTCAGACTATGCATGGAAGGACAAATGATCGGAAATGCGTCTCCACGTGGATGTGGTTCATTTCTTTGAAGGGCGATTCGGAGTTTGTCCGCAGAGCATCATGGCAGAGCATCATGTACAGGTGGCCTACTGACACTGCTTCACACTAATGGTAATTAAATCATGTTCAATAACCGCACAAAAGCTGTAGCACACACGACTCATAATTCTTTCTCTGTTGTTCACCTTCTTCGGCTCCATCCACTGCACATCCTGATCATGCGGCTCCAATACGCTCCCAGGGAACCAGATCCTTCCAACATCGAGACGGTCGAAGTATATCAACGGATTACAGCCCGTCGCTTGCCACGACCACTTATCCCTCTCGATCTGACGTTGCTACATGCGCCTCCCGTTGCCGATGGATACAATAGCTTTATCGGGGCGCTGCGGACAAAAACAGTCATTGCACCATCACTGTTGGAGTTGAGCATCTGTCGCGTTGGTCGTCTCAACGGAGCCGTCTACGAGTGGAATATCCATGGACCGCTTGCATTGAAGGCAGGAGTCTCCGTGCAGCAACTGCATGAAGCCTCTACGTTGCCTCCCTTCACAGATAAGGACGACGAGGCCCAAAAGGCATGGAAAGATACTTCCCTCACCAGGACCCAGCAAATAGTCCTCCAGTACACAGACGAGGTCACTATGAGCGTGGCTGTGAGTGATGATGTGTTTCAGGAGCTGCGTCAAGTCCTTGGGTCTGACGGCGAAGTGGTGGAACTCACTACGACTGTTGCTGGGTATAACTGTGTCAGTCGGATCTTGGTGGCTTTGGACGTGGGAGAGCATAGCACTAGTCGGATGAAGAGTGCCGAGGAAATGGCAGAACATTGCTGACCAGGGTGAAACACGCATGTGCAAACCTCGATAAGCATTCATCGTTCTGGGATCCTCTTCAATACCAAGAAATAATATAGAAGCTGGAGTGGGACTTGCGATGTATCCGGTTCAGTTGTAGTTTGAAGTACGGACTGTGGCTACATTATGTCTTTTGGACCCTGTGTCTAATTGAAGATGGCCTGCACTGGTAGGCCATGTGTTACCCTTGGTCCATCTGATCGGCGCCATTCTCCTAGGCCATATGCCAGACATAGCGGCCATTTCCCGAAACCGAAAACGAGACCCCAACCCACGAGGCCGCCAGGACCCCAGATTGCGGGGAAGCCTTGTCCGGGGAATGTAGTTTTAGAGCGGCACCTTACATACAGACTGTCTACGCCCGAGTATCTCAACAGTCAGCCGGTTGTCTAGTGAAGCTTACGGGGAATCGCCGGCTTGGTCGCTTTTCACTGCTATCCTACGGCGGAATTAAGTAGACGGGCAACTGCCGGTTCAGTCGTCTCTTATAGCATTACGGCCAAGGGGAAATGCTCCTAAAAGCCCTCAAGTCGCGTCGATTATTATTTCCAGAGTTACTGAAGGTGATATCAATCATTGTGTTACTACAACGAAGCGTTGTGTCAAGCACTACAGGTTACAACCCTTTGCACCATCCACGTCATCCAAAATGCACCTGCACCATCTTCTCACTGGCTCTTATACCAACACCTCGCTCTTTCTCCTTGCTTTCGATACCATATCCAGAACCCTGACTCTCAATTCAACCGTCCCGGGATACGGCTTGCACCAATTCGTGACCAGCAATGCAGCCAAGGATAGAGTTTACGCGACCACCATGAGCGAGCCTCCCCGGTTGTTCGCCTGGAGCGTGGATGAGGACTATCAGTTCACCCATCTCGATACCGTGAATATCAGTAGGTGGACTTCGGGAGAGATGGTCGTGACTATTATCTAACTTCCACGAGCGTCCTCGTCGTGCTATATCTCGGACAATAGCCAGTTCACCTTCAGTGTCGGCGGGCCAACTGCCCGGATTCATGCCCTCGACCAGGATGGTAGCATAGGCGAACAAGTCGACGAGCTCTACCTTATCCCTGAGGAAGATGTTGAAAGAGTTGACAAGACTCGGAATGCTGTTGTGAGTGCACCTGGTATCTTTGGACTCTTTGGTCATTGCGGCTCTTATTTTTCGATTTCCAGCTGTACGGTGGTCATGGCTTTGATGTCAATGTGAATGGCAAAGGATTTGTGCCTCACCTGTGAGTGATCACCTTCTGAGGCTAATTATGACCTCCTACTGACCGAGTCAGTGGTATGAACTCCATTTACATGTACGATATCGGCGCAAATGGCACGGCTCGGCTGCAATCCATCAATACAAGCCCGACAGAGGGCGACGGTCCGCGCAACTCGTACCCTAGCAAAGATGGAAGACTTCTCTATGTGGTGTGTACGCTCTACTCATAGTAGCGAAATCCGCGCAGCTGACCAGATTGCACCATGCAGGTAACTGAGCACAGTGAGTGATGCAAACTCTCCGCGGTCATGAATTGTATCTTCTAACCCTGACATGTCAGCTCAATGGCTCGACGTCTACGAGATCACCAACACCCAGCTAAAGCATAAGCAGCGGGCCAGCGCCATTCCCGACAGTAAGTTTGTCAAGCACACGCAACAAGAAGGACACGGAGATAACGAAAGAAATCATAGACGTCCGAGGCGGATTCACCTTCCGTAGTAATACTGTCCAGCCCTCCCGCGACGGCAAATATCTCTTCACTTCCACCCGCAGCTGGAACAACAGCGAGGCAAATGGATACGTTGCGGCGTTCGCGCTGGATAAGAAGGGCTATCTCCAGAAAGAAGAGGCTCTCACTTTCTACGAGGCGCCGGTGACCCTGGGCTCTGCGGGCGGACTCCGCGTGGCACCCTGGGTTGACGAGACCAATTGTGATCCCAATGGCCTGACGGATTATATGTATCTCAGTGATACGTCCGAGGGATGGATGTTTATCCTGGGCTGGACTCCTTCTAATCAGACCCTGGGGCTTGTGGCGTCGCTTTTGTACCCGGACAATGCGGCGCCGTATGAAGCTACCTGGTTGGATTAAACTACATTGTTGTATAGGAGGTTTTGATGCAGCTATCCAGTGCATTGACATTGATATAAATCAATCCGAGCTTAGCTACCTTGTGCCTTTCTCCCCTGTCGCTGTAACTCGGTCCTGTCGATGGATGGAGGTAATCTGTAAACCTCGGCTTCGCTTCGAGTTAATCAGCACATCGAGTATATGAACTATCCTTTGGTGTTTCCACCTCTTTCTGTGGCCATCACCCCACATTTGTTGCCAGCTGGCTATACTAGTCTGTGTTGCAATATTCCCACTTCATACATCCTTCTGCCCTCGTGTGAAGGATCTAGTTTAATACCCGTCTTGTGAGCGTGAGCATTCCTCTTGGTATCTTGTTCTACGTGACACACCGCAACGACAGACACCCAATGCGTTGGAGCTTGGGTCAGTGTTTACTTCGGCGTCTGCCCGTCGGCATAAACGATCTTCATCATCGCCATCGGTATATGGCCGGTGCTGTTGAAACCAACTCCCAGCCATCCAGCCGAGCCGGAATACGAGACGATCAACCCCAGATCTCCCCGGGCTTTCCCCGGATTCAATTCTGTCGCCCAGAGTAAACACATGCGAGGAGTAGATCGGAGGTACGCCCTGAAGCACTCCCGCCTCATACTAGCTACGCTGTATCAAGCCCGCGTATGTGCCATATAAATACCCAGGCGGCCACCATGTCCAAGATAGATCGCACACAACAACAGATCAGACAAGACACAACAACATGGCAACCAAAGCCCTAGCTGCATGGGCTGTAGCCCTCCAATTCACCAGCCTCCCCCCGCCCGTCACCGACATGGCAGTCAAAAGCGTCTCCAACTGGGCCGGGTGCGCCATTGGCGGTTACGCCCTTCCACCCGCCGGGGTAGCCTACGAGGCCGTCTCGCGTCTGCTCCCCCATCACGCCGGGAATGTATCCCTTCTCGGCACCGGGGCCTGGACGGACGTCCAAACCGCCGCCCTGGTCAACGGCATCGCCTCCCACGTCGACGACTACGACGACACGCACGCCGAGACGCCCATTCACCCCTCCGGCCCGGTGGCCTCGGCGCTGCTGGCCGTCGCGGAATGGAGCGCGCCGGTCTCCGGGCAGGACTTTCTGACCGCGTTCGTGGCCGGCGTCGAGGCCGAGTGCAAGCTCGGGCTAGCGGTGTACCCGGAGCACTACGACATCGGGTGGCGTATGTAGCTACCGCCGTGACACACGCAACATCTGGTTCAGGCCCGCTAACGCGCAGCAGATATCACCAGCACGACCGGCTCCATCGGCGCGGCCGTCGCGGTGGGCAAGCTGCTGGGCCTCGACGTGGAGCAGCTGCAGCAGGCGATCAGCATCGCCGCGGTGCAGGTCGTCGGCATGCACGAGTCGTTCGGCACGGACACGAAGCCGTTCCATGTGGGCCGGGCGGCGCAGTCGGGGCTGCTGGCGGCGCTGCTCGCGCAGAACGGGTACGGCGCCTCGCTGCAGGGCCTGGAGGCCGAGCGCGGCTGGGCGCATGTTGTCAGCACGCGCGAGAACCTCACGGCGGAGTTTGGCACGCTCGGCACGACGTGGGAGATCGCCCGGAACACGTTCAAGCCGTTCCCCTGCGACCGCATCATCCACGCTGCGATTGACGGGTGGATTCAGAGTCACCAGCTGGCTGGACGGAAGGGGCTTGATCTCGCTGGGGTTAAGAATGTGACGGCGCGGACGAACCCGCGGGTGCTGTTTCTGACGGATAACCGCGAGCCGAGGACGGGGCTTGATGCCAAGTTCAGTGTTTATCATGCTGCTGCTGTAGCTTTGCTGTTTGGTCAGGCGACGCCTGCGCAGTTTACTGATGAGATGGTCAGGAATGCTACTGTCGTTGCGTTGCGGGACAAGGTCCATGTTACCTCGGACGAGGGGGTGAGTGAGCATGAGGCATTCGTGTCGGTGGAGTTCCAGGACGGCACGCAGTTGGATGTTCATGTCGAGCATGCGCTGGGGAGTATGGAGAATCCGTTGTCAGCGAAGCAGCTGAAAGACAAGTTCATCGAGCATGCTGGTTCGCTTATTGGAGCGCAACGCGCTGAGAAGGCGTTTCGGGGGTTCTCTAGTATAGTCAACAGCACGGATGTTGGATCAATCTCGCGCGAGTTTAGGAAGTAGGACAGTCATTGTGTCCGCAGACAGTGTATGTAGGAAGGGTTGTTTCTGTTTCATGTGGAATGAAGTCGTTGTGTTGGATGATATATATCTTAACCGAGCAGCGGAGAAATATCCGGAGGGCATCCTGAACACTACTACCCAGGGTCTAAAGAGAATCCGTTAGTTCAGTGTCATTCTGTCCCAGCACTTGTATACAGCCCTTACCGCAGATTCAGCTTTGAATGCCAGATGCAAAAGAAAATACCTCAGACAGCCTTGCTTGTACATTTCCATATAGCCCGACTAGTCCATTCCAGCCATCCCTTACAGGTTGAGAGGATTCTACATTCCGGTTGACAGGAGTAGCAATATGCCCAGTACTTAGCAGCATATATATAGACGTAGGGGCTCGTCGTCCAGTGGCCCGAGATTCACCCATCGACCATCTCACGAGTGCAGAACACATCGGACAAAGACCCCAACATGTCATTAGTATCCGCCGCATCCACCCCATCATGGGTGCCCTCCCCCGACTACCTAGGCATCGTGGTGTCCCGCTACAAAGAGCCTCTGGACCCATGGGCGGACGTGGCCTCCAACACATACCTCTACGCCAAATACGCCACGCCGCAGGAAAACGACAGCGTCTCGCACGAGGCCTTCCGCCTGTACGAGCAGCTCCCCAACACGGGCCGCGAGGGCCGCACCTACTGCCACCACATCTACCACCACTACGACGAGCTGCAGCCGATCGTGATCTTCACGCAGGCCGACCCGTTCGACATGATCGGCCCGGAGACCAACACCACCGAGGCGATGGTGCGCAAGGCGGTCGCGGAGCCAGACGACGACGACGACCCCGTCACCATCTTCAACCACGGCCTGCTCCACGACCTGGCGGAATGGGGCCCGGTGAACTGGTCGGCCCCGGCGGAGGGGTACTGGATCAAGCCGAGCCAGCTAGAGACGCTCACGCTGGCGCCGTATGACATGGCGGAGTTCTGGCGGCGGTTGTTTGAGGAGGAGCATCCGGCCGGGCAGGCTTCGGGGTGGTTGCATGGGGGCGACGTTTGCAGTGCGGAGAAGAGGGCGATCTGGCCAGCCATGAGCGGGACTTTTATGAGCGGTGTTTGGAGTTTGTTTGTGGGAGGATGGGCAGGATGTGGTGAATCCGGGAGGTTGGGTTCTTTTATTGGAGAGAGCTTGGCTGGGCGGTGTGGAGTCGGAAGTTTTTGGTTGCAATTTCCTGTGATCAGACGGGGATCTGACTGGTATATAGATATAGGTAGTTGGTGTAGGGATATGTATGTAACCTGGGTGATAGGCTAGTGGCCTGTCGATAATGGCAGATGTAGTTTTGTTCATTGTTCATCCTGCACAGAAGAGTTTCCCCTTATTATTTGAGACATCGGCTGGTATTTAGGCCTAGCGGTGTCTGAGCTGCAAGGTTGAACTGTATGGCCGCCAACAAGGAGAGTGGTACAGACCGGGACTCTGCGGGGTTGGACGACATGGGCCTACGTGGTCGACGAAGCTGTGGCACTGCCGGGATAAAGAGGGGATCTGACTGACTGACGGAGGGTTCCCCGGTCGATCTACTATATGGTTTCTGAGAGGATCATCTTGACGTTGGCTGAGTTAGTAATAGAATGGGGGTGGATGGATCCATCGGCATCAGGCGACCTGCACGAGACCCAAAGAGGACCTCCGCTGGGTATTAGGTTTGTTGTCTGATTGATGGTTGTATGACCGTACATAGATTAACTATAACTAATACCTAGGTAGTTATCTAATAGTATATAGGGCGATATCTCTAATAGTTATGATACAGTCATATAGGAGTACTAGTAGGCATACGAATTCACTGAGTCACAGTCAGTCACCTCCGGATGGGTATGGAGAAGATAAAAATAGGCTCACTGCCTCCTTTCTCAGGCACTGCTGTGGCTGGTGTGGCTGGGGATGCCTAAAGCGGAACCCGGATGTGGGAGGGTCGACCTAGTGCCGATATCGCCAGGAGACGCTGGGTGGGATCCAGTCATAAGATGGAATAATTATGAATAATCGCGGTGCATGAGTAATGATCCTAGTGAACTGGTCCAATCAGAACAGAGGCAAATCTCAGTCGATACAAATGCAATAGAATTATTAGGTATACAGATGTAGAATAAAAGATAATAGGCAGAATAATCGCTAGAATATAGCGATAGAATAATGATAGGCAATGATAGGCAAAGACTGATAGAATACTGTACTGATTATTAGGTATACTAGGCATGGGTATGACGAGCAGCGGAAGGCAGTGCCCAACAACACCGCAACGAGTCATCCCGGATCCGCCGCTGCCTATTCTTATTCCTCTGCCTCTCTGCTTCCTGTCTCCTTCTGCTTCTTCTTCTTCTTCTCTCACCCGACGACTATGACTCTCCTCTCCTCCTATTCGTCCTAGTCTGGATTCGGTTCTTTTCTTTCTCGAGTCATCCTTCTACACGGTACAGAGTGTGGTGACTGATATCTTTATCGTTCGACTTTGATTCCCTTCTTATTTTATGATTTTATTCTTCTTCTCATGATTATTCTATTCTCCTGATTATATTATTATTATTACGACGACTATCACTATCTCTGTTCTATTATTATTTTTATTATTATTCTGCTATCCTGATTCTGATTCTATTTGTGATTATTCACGCGGTGCTGTGTTCCGCCACTCTTGCCACCAAACGGTGAGTAACTCCATCCTCCTTCCGCCATCAGTCATTCTGCTCCCACTCCCTCACTCCCCTTCCGCTCTCTTCTCTTCGCCTCATCCCCCCCATCCTCCCATCCTCTCTCTCTTCCTTTCATCCTCTCTCCTCTTCTTTTCTTCATCTCCTCTCCTCCTTATTCCTCCTCTTCTTCTTCTCCTTCCAACATACACCCCCATGACTCCCGTTAGTCACCACTAGCCCCAGTCCCAGTCCACTCCAGTCCAGGCAACTCCCGCCGCCAGCCTACAGTCATCCTTCCCTCTCGCCTCTCGCCTCCATCCTGTCAACTGCCTTCTCATCATCATCCCACTCCTGCTGACTCCGTCCTCCTCCGACAACAGTCCTAACCGCCGCTCGCCACCCTCTGCTGCCTCCGCCGCCCCGTCGACTGCCTAGACAAGCATCAGCACCCCCCGCGGATCTGCCTGCTTGGTAGTCAGTTCGCCGTCTCGCGGCTCTTCCTCTCGCCTCTTCTTATACACCTGCCAGTCTCAAGATGTACCTTGTTGTCTCCAAACCTTTCGTTCCGATCACCCGTGTTGCAGAATCCTCCACCGCAGACCTCGCCTCCCTCGTGGTGTTGCTGTGAATCATCCTCCTCTCTCCCTCCGAGTCATACCATCCTCTGGTCGTGACTCCTCGCCTCCGTCCTGCACTATAACCGGTGATCGGAACACCCTCCTCATCCTCCTCATCCCTCCTAAGACCCCTCATCCTCCCCTCATCATCCTCTCTCGATAACCCTCCCCCAACTCCCCCCCACCCCTCGCTGCTTCAAAGTGGCGAACCTCCTCTAAAGGTCGGCCGTCGCCTGTACATCAAAGACGGTATCTGGTCTTGTCGCTTCTCGTTAACGGTTCCTTGCGCAACGGTTTATTGATCTCCCACGGATAACATTCGCGCACCCGCCTGCTTCCTCTTCTCCGGATATGACAGGCGTTGACGTGTTGGGTTTGAAAGATCCAAACCCCGGTCTTTCCTACAAGACGTCTCATGCGCACCCTTACCCCTCGTCCCTCTCCTCCGCATCTTCCTCGGCTTCGTCCGTCTTCTCGTTAGACGCCATCTCCTCTCAGGGATCCGTCTCGTCCGCCGCGACGAATCCGGCCGATGTGATCTGGGAGAATGACGCGGAATACCCTCGGTCGACGCGGGCCTGCTTGCGAGGTCCCCCCGTCAAGCCCGCCGACGCCGCGGTGCCCCCGGAGTTGCGCAGGCATCCCCGGCGCACCAACAGCCACGTCGTTCAGTCCAACGGCACGGCCTGTACCCGGCCCCCGCCCTGTCTGCTTCGCCAGTCCGAGCGGAAGGTCAACTTTGTCGACAACCTCGTCGGTAAGTGGGACCCATCGCGTCCCTCGCTCGAGTTCCGCAAACTAAGCCCGGTCCAGATACTGCGTCCCAGATTGTGGAAATCATCTGGCCCCTCTCCGCCGTAGCCCACAAGAGTGACTCCGCCACGGGCTGCAAAGGGGTCCTACCCCTGCGCACCTTCATCCAGGAGACGCTCCGCCGCTCGCGGACGAGCTATAGCACGCTGCAGGTCGCCCTGTACTACTTGATCAAGATCAAGCCACACGTGCCTTCCCACGATCTGACGCAGGATCAGTCCCGCACGAAACCGGGCTGTCGTGCCATGCAATGTGGCCGCCGCATGTTTCTGTCGGCTCTCATCCTGGCCTCCAAATACCTCCAGGACCGCAACTACTCGGCCCGCGCGTGGAGCAAGATCTCCGGTCTCAACACCGTAGAAATCAACCAGAACGAGTTGATGTTCCTCAAGGCGGTGGACTGGAAGCTGCACATCCCGGAATCCACCTTCCAGCGCTGGACCGACATTGTGCTGAAGTACACGCCCGGTGCCGGTGGTCTGCCGACCGAGGGCCAGAGCTGGCGCACGGTCATTCCGAGACTGACCCCTGACTTGGAGGAGGTCGACCTCGTGGAGCCGCTGACTCCGATGAGTATGGGCGGATTTGACAGCCGCGCGCCGTCGGATTCACCGTCTCCCCGCAGTGTCTCCCCGAAGACGACCGAAGTCTGCAGTCTGCCCTCGGTCTCGGAGTTGATGTCGTCGTATCGGCCGACGCCCGCTCTGGCCGAGCGATCGACTCGCGTCGACAGTTTCAACCCATCCCTGCCGTCGATGCCCCGGCCGCCGATGCTGCCCACGCCGCAGTTGACGCCCCAGTCGACCATGGTCTCCACTCCTGCTGCGAGTGGCGGTCCCTTCTCGTCGCACCGGCGTCACCTGTGTGCTGCCATGTCGCAGGTGCAGAACATGTGCATGGCGCGGTCCACCCTGGACCAGCGCCCGTCACTCCCGTTCTGCCCCAAGACGAGCAGCAGCATGGACAGCTATCCGACGATGCGCCGGTCGTCTCTGGCACGCTCGACCTCGTCGGCCTCGTCTCCGGACTCGATGATCTCGGACGTGTCGACCCTTTCATCGCAGTCGTCGACCGCCTCGGGTCCCACCGGCATGCCTCGTCTGGCTGTCCAGGCGACGCTCCGGTGCACGAACAACTCGATGAAGGAGAACCGCAAGCCGGTGACGGTGGCGTCTCCCATCGACGAGGTCTCGTTCGGCGATCTGTACAATTCCCCCGAGTCGTATGCGACCGGTGCGGTGCCCGACCTGTCGAGCTTCTCGCTGGGCACGCCGGTGGACGCGTCTTCCACGCATGAAGCCGCGCAGAGTCTCTGTGCCCTGTCCGGCGCCGGCTCGAAGGCCCAGCAGCGTCCCTGCCGCAAGCGTGGCCGTACGGGGTCGGACGACTTCACCCTGCAGGGCCATGTCCGTCACCTGATGCATGCCAACACCTTCAGCGAAGGGATGGTCCTGCCGGATGGTAACACCGCCGATCGGTTCCTGCAGTCTCAGGGCTCGCAGCCCTCGACTTTGACGACGATGGCCCAGCTGCGCTCGTTCAACTTCCAGGCGCCCCTCTCCGGGCCGACTGGCATGAAGCGGGCCTGCTGCGGCAGCGAAGCGCGGAAGATCGCGCTGAATCCCAACCTACGTGCGGACTACCTTGGGTAGTCTGCCGTTGGGTTTGTTTTTCTTTTCCTATCTTTCTGTACAGAAAAGGAAAAGTCTAGTTTTGCTTTCTGCTATTCTTACAAGGCTATCCTCAGCAGCGTCTCGCCGAGCGAGGCGCCTGCTGGGAGACTGGATTCGATCTACCAAGGACGCTGGAGGCGGACGCAGATGACCCGCAGGCGAAAAGTTGATGTGTGTTCACCGTCATTTTTCTTCAGTCGGGAAAAGGTTCTCGTCGGATTTTGTATATACCCTGGTGTTGGTGGGATCGCAGGGCGTCTGCGTTTGGCCTCGGCGCAAGCAGTGGAACGGAGTCCACTGGTGTATGATGTATGCTTGTGGGTTTTGTTTTGGGGTGGTCTTTGTGAGGCGGAGTTACAATCTTTTACTATTTACTTGTCTATCTTTTGCTTTCTCTGGATATCTCTTGTTTGGATGGAGTGGGTGGGAACGGCTGGGATAGTCTACTGGTTTTCTGGCTCGATCTGCTGGTCGAGTCGCTGATAGCTAGCAATGAAAACTGTAACCGTCGACTTGTGGTTCGTAGTGAGTCATTCTTTGTCTTGTTCGTAACGGGATCCTTGGGTCGGGTGATGGTTGAGTGGCGTCGGTGAGTCATGATCATCAGCAACCAGCGCAAGGCAGTAAGGCAGAAAGGCAGTAAGGCTGCGAGGCTGCAAGGCTGCAAGGCTGCAAGGCTGCGATCGGATGATCCGGAAGATGTCGGACCGAAAACGGCTGAATCAGCGGTCAACTGACGCACTAACCCGGACAGGACAAGCGCCATCAGATAAGATCATCTGCCTTTTGGTTCCCTCGTTTCTCTTCTCCATCTCCATCATCTCCAACTCTTCTCACCTCTCATATCACACACACATCCTCTCAGCATGCGTCGACTAGCTCTATCAGCTCTGACTCTGCTCTTTAGCCAGATACTACTTCCTGTCACTGCAGTCGTAGACCAGAACTACGAGCAGGTCCCCTTCATCGACCCCACCGCAGCCTCCGACGATGTCATCCATGCCGTCAACAACCCAGACATCGCGACCATTCCCTCGTGGTTCACCTCAACCTTGATGGCCCGTCGGCTTCTGGCTCTGTCCACCACCGGCGTCGCCTCTACCGTCTTCCCAGATCCCCTCCCCAGCACCTCGCATGCGCCCGCCGAGGTTGCCGGCCAGCCCATCAGCTTAACGGAATACGTGGCCGACTGTGATGAAGCCCTTCCAACCGGCAACGGTGGTGATGGAAACCCAACCTTCCTCGCGCTGCGTGTTGCGACGACCTTCCGCAACACCGCAGCCGGCTCCAACATCAGCCTCTCTCTCGACTGGTGGGACCACGTGAACGAGACCAAACCCCTCTTTCCCGGATTTCCCCGCTCGCCAGCTGGACTCCCCCGTGTAACACTGTTTGGGTACATTGAGCCGTTCGAGACCCCCTTGCCTAAGGATACCGAGACAGCCCTGCGTGAGTGCTACCTCCAGGCCCACCCCGACGCCGCTGTCTGGCTACCCGGGAAACCCTATTCCCCGCACGCCAGCTTCTGGGCGCGTCTGGCCGTGACGCAGGTGTACTGGATCGGTGGCTTTGGGGGGTTCCAGCAGATTGGCTGGATGAACGTCACCGAGTGGGCGGGGATCCGCCGCACCCGTAGTCTGCCAGGCATCGGGGATGGACGGGGCTGGGAGGATGTGCGGCTTCCTGGAGAGAAGTGAGCAGGGCAATGAGGATGTTTCTTTCTCGCATCTCTCGTGTACATATCGATATCTGCATAGATGCAAGGGCGAGTACGGGAGCCGGGGTACGCCGTGGGCGATAAGCGTGGGCGTTATCAGATGTGCCATCGCCAATGAGAAGGCCATGCTTATCAGGATGATGAAGTCTTATCATCCGCCGTCGCTTATATAGTTCTTGATGCATGCATGCAGCTTGTCTGGACTTTACAGCCCACACCAGCCTACCTCTCTAGCAATGCGCTTCCGTCCCAGTCTTCGAGTCTCCCAGTCCAAATCGGCCTTTGCGGAGGGCAATGCCCGCTGGACGAACCGTGATCTCGATCCGATTCCGCTCCATCAACGACATTGGGGGCCTCTCAGTTTCGTCTGTACGGTCACCCAGCATGCTTCCTGAACGATAAGCTAACGAGCCAGCGTACTGGATTTCCGATGCCTTCAACGCCGCGACCTGGCAGTTCGCCAGCAGTATCATCGCCGTGGGCCTGAGCTGGCGCGAGTCGCTCGCCATTGTCGCCGTCTCCTTCTTCATCATCTCGTTCGTCATCGCCGCCAACGGCGCCGTCGGCTCCATCTACCACATCCCGTTCCCTGTCATCGCGCGCGCCAGCTGGGGCTTCTGGGGCTCGTACATCGCCATCGTGTCGCGCGTCATCCTGGCCGTCTTTTGGTTCGCCATCCAAAACGTCAACGGCGGCAACGCTGTCGGCGCCATGATCGGCGCCATCTGGCCCAGCTTCCTCACCCTCGAGAACCACATCCCCGAGAACCAGGGCATCACCACGCGCGGCATGGTCGGCTACGTCATCTTCTTCGTCCTGCAGTTCCCCTTCCTCTGCGTGCACCCGGACAAGGCCCGCTGGCTGTTCCTCGTCAAGTCCGTCCTCGTGCCCATCGCCTGGATCGCCATCCTCATCTGGGCCTTTGTCGCCGAGGGCGGCGGCGCCATGTTCGACCAGCGCCCGTCCGTCTCCGGCTCCGCCTACAGCTGGCTCTTCCTGGCCAACATGACCTCCGTGCTGGGCAACTACGCCACGCTGAGCGTCAACCAGTCCGACTTCTCGCGCTACTCGCGCGTCTCCCCCCGCTGGCAGCTGCTCTACATCCCCATGCTGCCCGTCGTCTTCACCTTCATCTCCTTCATCGGCATCGCCGCCTCCTCCGCCGGCCAGGCCCGCTACCACACCGCCGCCATCCCCTGGGACCCCATCGAGCTCATCAGCCACTGGTCCAGCCGCGCCGCCCGCTTCTTCGCCGCCTTCTCCTTCGCCCTCGCCTCGCTCGGCGTCAACATCTCCGCCAACTCCATCTCCGCCGCAAACGACCTCATGGCCCTGTTCCCGGCCTACGTCAACCTCCGCCGCGGCCAGATCCTCTGCGGGCTGCTGTCGTGGGCTCTCGTGCCGTGGAAGATCCTCGCCTCCGCGGGCAACTTTCTCAACTTCATGTCCGCGTACGCCATCTTCCTCGGCCCGATTGCCGCCATCATGCTGTGGGATTTCTGGCTCGTTCACCGCCGCCGCTACGATACCCTCGCCCTGTACCAGCCCGCCGCACCGACGTATCGCTACGGCTCCGACTGGCTGGTCAACTGGCGCGCCGTGGTCGCGTTCCTGGTCGGCGTCGTGCCGAACTTGCCGGGCTTGATCAACTCGGTGAATTCGTCGATCGATGTTGGGGTCGGTATCCACCCGTACCAGTTTGGGTGGCTGCTCGGGTTTGCGGGCACGAGTGTGGTGTACGTTGCGCTGTGTCTGGCGTTTCCGGACAGCGCGAGCCAGGTGGCCAGAGCCGTGCTGGCGGATGAGGTATACGCCAGCACGGAGGTGTACGAGGGCGTTGCTCCGGAGGTATCGACCCCGGTCGTGTACGAGGGGAAGGCGATCGCCTGACATGTATGCATGTATGCATGATTCTATCCATTATATACATATACACTCGCCTCCACTCTATGCAGTAGACGTAGTCAAACAGGATCAAGATCAGCCCTAGCGACCGCAGCGTTAACCACCCTCGACACTCCAGCCGCAGCCCGCCCAACCTCCCCGCCATCCATGCGCGCACTCTCCAGCCCGCGACTCACAGCCCCCAGCACCCTCCCACTGAACACGCGGAACCGCTCTTCGCTCGTCTCGTAGATATCCGCGTCTTCGTCGCGCGGGGCGCCAAACAAATTGAGGTAGACATACGGCGCCGCGACCGGCGGGATCATATGCGGCGCACACAGGTCTTCCTCCCCTCCATCCTGCAGCATCTGCGTAGATTGGGATTGCGACTTCCCCGCCAACCCGACAGCCAAAAACTCCGCCAAAACATTCAACACCTTAACCACGACCGCACCGCCGGCGCCCTTCCCCGCCTTTCCAAACGACGCCCGCGCCGACGACCACTTCGCGCTCTCGGCCGTGTGCCACTCCAGCACAGACAGGAAGCAATTCAGCGTCTTCAGCCAGCCGCCCGGCGCAGAGACGACGGCTTCCCCCGCGACATCGATTAACCAGCCCAGTATTTCCACCGCGGAGAGCCGGATGTCAGCGGCGAGGTGGGTCATGCCGGCGCGCAGGTACGGCAGGAGGGCGGCGACGTGGTCGGCGATGTCTGTGGCGGGGAGCGCGCGCAGCGTGCGCAGGAGCTGGGTGCGCACGGCGGCGGATGGGTCGAGGGTTAGCGGGAGGAGGGGCGGGAGGAGGGCGCTGACGGGGGCTGGGGGTGGAGTGTTGACGGGGCGCGAGGAGAGGTGTGTTGTGAGGTGGGCGAGGGCGTCGCGGCGCTGGGTGTCGGATTTTGAGGAGAGGAGCGAGAGGGTGTGGGTGAATTGGGCTGTGGGGGTTGGGGCGGCGAGTTTGAGGGATTGTTGGGTTAGGGTTATTGCTGTTGAGCTAACGTTAGATACTGGATATGGTATATGGGAGAGTGTGAGGGGAGGAGGTACATTTGGATTTGAAGCTGGTGTCGGTGAAATTGTCGGGTTTGGCTTTGGCTTTGCCGACTTTGAGCTTTGCTTTCTGGGCTGGGGTTAGCTTGTGTTTTTTTGTATGCAGGGGATACGCACTTGGAAGTCTTTCTGCCTCTCCTTCTTTTTCTTAGTGCTGGAGCCCATTGTGACGTGCTGAGTTGAGTTGAGATGGTTGTGAAAAGTGAGGATGGATGCGATGATATTTGATGCTTATCGCCACGTGCGGTCATGTGATCTTTATCTCCATACTCTCATACGGAGTACTCCATATACTACTCCATTGGGTACACTTACTGGTACTCCACTACATAAGTATTCAAGATAGTACTGAAATTTTGCACATTACTAGTCTATAAACAGTGCGCACTTCTGCCGGCCTATTCAACAAAACAAAGCGGAAAACGGCCGACAGACGCGATTGTATCAAGCAATCAATCATAAAAATCAGACAGAAATCAATCAAAGCAAAATCAACTCAACAGTCCATACTCATCACCGTGGAGCATCCATCAGGCATTACCTCACAGACTCATCGTTAACCATTCCCATTCCTGGCTCGCCCCCTGGCCGCCGGCAATGCTGTGGTTGGCCGGGTTCACCGCGGCCGGGGGCATCGCTGGCGCGAGGGGCACCACCTTGGAGCGGCCGCCCGATTTGCTCGCGTCGTCCTCACCCTCGGCCGCCTTTTCCAGTCGGCGCTGCCGCTTCGGTGCCACCAACGATCCGCGGGCGGGCCCGCCGGGAGACGCCGCAGAAGGCGCCGATTTGGGCGGTGCGGCCGCGATGGGCACCACGCCCGACGCCCGGCCCGAACCAACCCCGCTGGCCGGGGGCGACTCGGACGACGGGGCGGTACCGCTGCTCTGCGCGCGACTAGTCACGTTCGACGGCGCCGCCGCCGACGACTGCTGCACCGAGTTCTTGCGCGAGGACTTCTTCGACGACCGCGACGTCCCCACGGCCAGACTGTTGGCGCTGCTGCGGTTGCGCTTCTTGATGACATCCGTCTTGAGCGACAGCGGGCGCACCACGCCGTGCAGCTTCAGGAACAGCCCGCAGGCATTGCACAGCGGCTGGCCCTCCGGGTTGCGCCGCCACAGCGGGGTTGTCTGCGTGAAGCAGTTGGTGCAGGTGGTCGGGCCGGAGCTGCTGCCGTCGGCGTTCTTGGTACCGCCCGGGGAGCCCGGTCGCGAGGGGACGGCGCTGCTGAGGCCCGATTCAGGAGGCGTGTTGGGGGAGGTGTTGGAGCCGCCAGCGTGCATGCTCTGGCGCAGGAGCTGCGCGGTGTTGGGGGTGGAGGTCGTGCGGGCGATCTTCTGGCGGCGCGGATCCTGCTCGCGGTTGCGCACCTCGCTGACAGACGCGGCCGACCCGTGGGTACGACCCAGACTGCCGCCGTGGCCCCATTCACCCGGCGCGTCCATCATATCGGCGGATCCGATGGTGACGTGCTTGCGGTGCTGGCCGAAGCCCGGCAGCGAGTGGAAGGAGCCGGGGAAATGCGCGTCCCACTGCATGCCAGTGGACTCGTCACCCAGATCCGCGGGCATGGCGAGGCCGGCGCGGTCGGAGAACGGGTGGCCCCCGGTGGGATCGTCGTCTTCGTTGTCCGAGTCGGCTCCAAAGCTGAACATGGCGGTGTGCGAGGTTGCCGTGGCATAGTCGGTCGGGTTCAGCACCTGAGTGGGATCGACGTGCTGCGGCTGGGGAATCGGGTAGCCTGGGGACTGCACGGAGGACGAAGAGCCCGGCGGGGCGTCATGGCTCGGGCCCTGGTTGTTGAAGAGGTAGCGCGGCTGCAGCGAGGCGGAGAGGTTGGAGCGGTGGGCCACGTAGTTGGGGATGCGGCGCTGGCGGGTGTCGGCGGTGGGCATGTCAAAGTACATGTTATGCTCTCCGTCATAGGCGGGTTGTGGCGTCGAGGCCGTCGACTGGTAGCCAGAAGGAGGTGGGGAGAAGAAATCGGTGGAGTTGAGCGAGGACGCTATTGGGGTCTGGGCGTAGAGGCTGGCGAAGGGATTGCCAGAGGTCATAGGAGAATCGCTCGGCGAAAAGGTAAACTGGGACTGGTAGGGACCGGCGGAGGGGGCGATGGGGTCCTCGCCCAGACCGAAAGTGTCGAGATTAAAGGGCACGCCAGGAGAGGTGTGGTTGCTAGTGAGGTGGTGATGTTGCTGGTGCTGCTGATGATGATGCAGACCAAAGGCAGAAGACGAAGCGTCGAGGGTGTAATCGGGGACAGCGCCCGCCAGATCGGGATCGTGATGGGCCAGCATGGTGTTGGAGACGGGCGGCACTTGGGGGGAGGACTCGGCCGGTCGTTTCCGCGTAGGGACCTGCAGACCGAAGAACTGACGCTCGTCGATGCTGGTCTTGCGCACGCGACGCGGGACGTAGCCAAACTCGTTGTTCTTCCGCTGGTCCTGGGCGGGATGGGGAAATGAGGCGGGCACAGGAGTGGCATCACGGACGGGGTCGTGGCGAACGGCGGCCTTGATCGGGATGGCGTTGGGGTTGGTGGTCACAGGAGAATGGTGGTCAGAGGGGGATTCGATGGGGACGATGAAATCGTCGAGGTTCATAGGGTCGAAGTCGGTAGAGGGATGTGGAGGGTGGTCGCGATCTGGTTCTCGGTCGGAAATGCGCAATTGAGCGATTCCGCTGGGATTGGGACTGGATCTGCGAAGTTTAGAGGACTACAAATCAAGGCAGAATCGCGGGAGAAGTCGAAGGCATACTTGGACTGCTGCAAGCGTTGCTGCTCCTGGCGCTTCAGACTCATAGCCATCATGCGCCAGGTGAGGTTTTCCATGCGCTCCTGGTTGGGCAATTGGGCCTTGGTGCGAGAGTAGAGTTTCCAGATCTGAGTGGCCAGCGGATCCTTTCGCTGCATCTCATCGGGCGAGTCGAAGCCGGGACGAGGAGCGCCGGAGCGCCATTCGGGGAAGAGGGAATCCTGAAGAAGGCCCTCGGGATGGGCGTCGTCGGCGTCGACGGAGGGCGGGGGACCGCGTCCGCGGTGTAACCCGGCCATGATATGATCGAGCGATCAGTCGATAGCGGAGGGGGGGAGAGAAGGAGAGGAGAGATGATAGGGAAGAGGACGAGGGCGAGGGGAGATAAGAGATAGAAATGCGCGGCGAGAGGGGAGAGAGAATTCCCGTTACCGCCGTAGACGAGGAGGGTGAGAGGGACTACCAGGATTCGTTAGTGGCTGCAGCTAGAGGGGGGACGGAGGACGGACGTTTCTTTTTCTGTACTTTTGTCGGGAGTCTTTCAGATGCAGGAGATTTAGGATGTAGGGAGCATTATAGGAGAAAGAGAGAGAGGGCAAGAGGGAGAGGGAGGATGAATGCGAGTGAAGAGAGGGAAGAGATGATGATGAATACACCAGAATTGTAGAGTCGTATAGCGGAGGAGCATATGGTATGGGTAATACTAGTACGGTATTATACACCTTACGAGGTACCTGGGTACACCACCTGCAGTAGAAGCTTCGTCTTTCTACCTGCCTTAGTATCCATTATATCTGGTATACTATAAGAATATAGGTAGTAAGGAATTGTTTTAGATATACAGGTAAGTTCTCACCTACTCTATATCCATATAGAAAGAATATAATTGTGCTTGGTATACATTCTTTCTATTTCATTGTATACCTACTTAGCTCCGGCATCTCCACGGTCGGTCATCCATAGTCGGACAACCACCGAAGGATCGAGTCTCCGTCCGATCTGATCCATTCTGCTCAGGCTGTGGCGGTTCAGTCTGTGTCTGTGTCTGTGCCAGTGTCAGTGCTTTATTATTGTTAGTGTCTGTCTGTCTGTCAATGCTCTCCAGTGCTCTCCAGTGCTCTCCACACATCACCCACTCCATATAAACCAACCAATGCCTCCATAATCCATCCACGAAGTAGTGATCCTTCTCATCTCACCGAGAGCGATCCCGATCTTACCCGAGTCTGTACCAACCGGTATTCAACGTCCATACCGGCCGTCCCGTCACCCCATTACGCCATGATACTGCCACCCCCTCTAGACCCCACGCCCACATCCCATGTCTCAATCTCTCTTTGTTCTTCCTTCGTTCCTCTCTCCTCTCATGCAGTAGATTCATCGAGGCTCCACTGTGCGGGGCTGGCAACGTGCGTCGGGGTTTCGCACCGCCAGCCGCAGTCCCTAGCAGTGGTGGACTGTCGTGTGCACGGTCTACCACATGGGACTCGGTCGGGTCGGTCGATGACTGATTGACTCGACTCGATCCGACTGGACTCGACGCCATCAACCTCATGATTCAAGCAGTTTGTCGAATACTGTGGCCAACACCAAGGGTAGTTCCATTTCCATCAGGACCCAGGCCCAGGGACTAGGCCGAGGACCAGGACTAGGTAGTTAGTATACTCCGAACCTGCAAGTACTCTAAACGAGACCCGCTAGCCAATGCTCTGGCGTGGGGCGAAAGCATCGCAACGAGGCCCACCAACACTAGAACTAGTGCTTGATAACTGCGAGATTCCGTGATAAGCTGATAAGATGTAATTAGCCGTGGTCATCTTCCGATCGGGCATTTCTCAGGGTTCATTTGGATCTTGTCGTCGTCCATGTCGTTGATGTCGTCGTCGTAGAGCGTACGCCGTAGGTACTCTGTCCTCTGAGCCCGTACTCTGTCATCGAGTATCATCACCGTCGATCGAAATCCAACAGTGGCAAAGCAGAAAGAGTGGCAACGAAGATCTCGAATATAACCGCCGCATCAAGCAGATTGGTCCGGATGCAGCATCACCACTTCCGGTGGAGTCCGTGAGATTCTAAGTCGCGTGTCGTTCCACGGATCATTGGCACGCTTCGTTTCGCGCACAGCCTATCGTCATGGAAGGATCATACCGTCAACACGGAAAAATAAAAGGTACGATACCGCCACGGAGCCAGCCAAACGAGGTGGATAGATGGTCCGATTAGTTCCCCCATGGACGCCCCCCCCCCCCAGGACGACCCCCCCAGGACGATGCACAGAGCAATCAGATGTCTGGGAATGGTCAGCGCGGCTGGTCAAATCGCTCCTCCATCCCAGCAAGAGCTTGCGTCGTTCAATCTGTCGACGGTCGAAAGAGGCTGCGATCATCCCACACCCGCATCTGCCCGCCCAGCCATTTTTGGCGGTTGGCGCGGGTGCAGCAATATTCGCTCTGGGTGAGATGTCAGATGCTGGGAGTGCAGGGAGCTGGAATGCCGCGCATAGGATCCGACAGTTGGCCTGGAACCGGTCAGCGACCAGGTGCTCCTGTAGGACGCAACACGTACTAGGAGTAGTTCATGGTTCAGACAGCGGATGGATCTGGGCCTGACCTAGACCGTCGGCTTCTCCGGGGGCTCCTGGCTGGACGCCAACCCAGCCCTCCACATCAAGTACTTAGTACTTAACCAAGACCCGCCGAGGGATCCGTGGAGAAAGAAGACAGAAAGAGAAGAAAGGCAAGGCAAAGGCAACCCAGGTGAGGGTGTTTATATAACTGTCAGATCGCGCCACCCCACAGAATTACGATAAGACGTGATGAGATCGGTGGCACGCTGTCAGAGAGCAAAGAACAGACGAAGCAAGCAAAGAATCTTCTGTGCTGCAACGACAACGGGCGCAATCGCCGGTTTTGTACGAAGCGTCAGACCGACCATCGGGCAGAGTTTGATAACTCTGCAGGCATGGACGGAATGCTCGAGATAAGGCCGTCTCACCGACACCACGTCACCAGTATGCGATTGCTTGTTGCGGTTACTTCTTGCGAGTTATCTTGGTCTGATAGTCACCATATATGCCCGACAGCACATCATTCTTATCTGTAGATCGACCCCAGACATACTCTATACAGTGTGCTCCCAGTCACGGCGAAGACAGCCTCAATCCGCACCACTCTTATCGCGATGAACGTTGAACATCCGCGGAGACAGACCGTTGCTCGGCCTTTAACCCTGTCGTTGTGGCTCAGACTGATAAGCCCGCGAGTGTCATTGGCAGAGGAGTTATCGTGTTACATTGAGGCATTGAGTATATCGCTGTTGCTAAGAGTCCCATTGTGTTTGAGAACAACTCTGCAGGGATAGCTGTCATATCATGCTGTAGATCATTGGCTTGTAAGCTCTGCATGCAACTATATCAATCTAAACCGTAGATAGATAATGACTAAGACGGCCATCTCTACTATACTACTGCACCAAAAATACATCAAGTTGTCTAATATTTGCAGAGAAATGAAGTCTATGGATGGTCGAGCAGCCCGAAGATCAACAAAAGAAAGAAACGAAAGAACATATGCAAATGTAGAGCCCACATCCCTCCACCCATCCTCTATCCCCGCATGTATCAATCAAAACAGAACATAAAAAAAAAGGAAACCGACCCGTACAACAGGCCAATGGCCACTGGATCACCCAGTGGTTCTAACATAGCTCGTGAACCAGACACGTCTCAAATGCAGAAGCGAACGATATCGGTCAAATGTAACCATCAGCACCCCCCCAACGCAGGAATGATCCAAGGTCTGAAAGAAGCGAATGAGCTGATCAAAATGCCTGCCGCCCAAATCCTTTGCGCCCGCTAATAACCAGCTGGTAAAGGTAACGTGGCGCGTCCCGTCTGCGGAGACAAGACGCGCAAGAACTGAATCAATGCAAGTCGCACCGGGGTATATCTAACTCTTTTCTTATATAGGAATCCAAATCGGAAACTTTCCTCCTGCACTGTCACGGCGGCGCTTGTCCCGGCCCCGGATGGCCCATCGGCGCCCCGAACGCCGCCTGTTGCGTCGCGTCCCCCGTGTACATCGGGTACTGCACAACGCCCATCGGCGACATGCTGTTCATGTCCTGCCAGGTGGGATAGCCCATGGGCGTGGGCTGGCCCGGGTACGACACCGAGGTCGGGCCCGTGGGCATGTCCGCCGGCGGAGGGCTCTGCGGGTTTGCGGGGAACGACTGCGGCGGGCTGGTCATTCGGCGCTTGAGGTCTGCCGGCGGTGGCGGCTGCTGATGCGGCGGTGGGTGCTGGAACTGGCTGGTGGGAAATGCCTGGCCCATGTCGGGCTGCGCGGGAAACGTCATGGAGCGGGCCGGCGGCGGCGGTACCTGCCAGACAGACCCGTCCGGCTGCATGGCGTATGTCGGGGCCGGGCTGAGGCTCTGCGGCTGCGAGGGGATCGTGGGCGTGCCCTGAAGGGGGGAGGCAGCGGGCATGGGCGCCATGGGGTTAGGGTTGGGGTTCCAGACGGCGGAGGGCGGCATGTTGACGTTGACCATGCCGGGCTTTGCGGCGGCGGACATGGCGGCCAGCATTTGGGGGTCGGAGATGGTGGTGAACTCGTCCCAGGGGACGGAGGGGTCGAGCGAGGGCGGGTTTGGGGCGTAGGGGGCGATGGGAGGGCCTGGGTAGGCGGCCCCGGCGGCCGGGTTGAAGGTGGTGGTGACGTCCGGGGCGGCGCTGAGGGGGATGGGCTGGTAGGGGAAGAAGGCGTCGGGTTGATCGGTGCCCGATCCGGCTGGAGGCGACGAGGAGGCCGTCGAGGGGTCGGTAGATGCGGTCTCGAGGCGCGAATTGGGGCGGGATTTCTTCTCGATGGGGGGTTGCTGGTCGACGGGGAAGAACTGGCATTCTTTGCGCAGACGGATACAGTTCTCACAGCGGCCCTGCGCGTCGTCGGCGGCGACCAGACAGCGGATCTTTCGTCGGCGACAGTGTACTGCACCCAATTAGACCGCGATCGGGTGGTATAGATAGAAAGAGGTCGGGTACTCACCGCATGCGACAGAGGTACGATGATAGCCCAGCTTGTTGCGCTTTTTGTCGGCGGTTGAGGATTCCATGATGGGGCCCTGGGGAGTGGGAGTCGGCGTCATTGTTGCGATCACCGCGGGCATCGCTCCAGGGAGCAGAGGAGGAAGACCCTATGTTAGGGCATCAATGGGGGAAGGAGAGGTAGAGGTAGGAGGTATGTAGATGGGCTCGGATGACCGATGCGACGCGCCCGCAGGTTCAAGACAAGGAAGATGATAAAGGCGGCTGAGGTCCATACAAGACGAAACAGTCGAGACCAGACCCGGACGTGCTGGAGAAGGATTGCCGTGATAGTCGGAAGTCAAGATGGTGAGATGGTGAGGTAGGATGTTTCAACGGTGCTACTCCACACGATCGAATCTTGGGACGTTTCACCCCGTGTCTGACAAGATTAAAAGGGGAAAATCAAGAGATAATAAAACAAAAAAGGGCTAAAAGGTGTCCTCCCCGAATCCCATTTGTCGTGGTCGTCGTGGTCGTCGTCAGGAAGGGAAGCGAAGATTAATTAGACCACACCGATGACAGGGCCGGGAGGTGTCTCGGCCAGACGAGGCAAATGAGGCAATTAAACAATATCGATGGATGGAATTGGCGCATCAAAGGAATTATAAAGAAATGATTAATAAGGTCGAAAGAACCCAAAGGGCTTGGGCACGAGAAAGGGATAAAGGGGAAGCAGAGCAAAGTCAGTGTGGAATTGAGTTAGTTGAAAGAAATGAGCGAGAGCGAGCGAGAGAGCGAGGTTGTTGATACCTAATTTCCAGAGCCATACACGAGGTAAGTAAATAGAAAGGGGTATACAGTGATCTGACGATCCAGGATAGTACCTATCCTCATCCTCCTCCTAACTAGCAGTAATAATGATAAAAAAAAAAACGATAAAATTAATAACCATCCTACACTATCCTCCTCCGTACGGACGATGGAAAATTTAGAAGAAGAAAGAAAAATGGGGCAATAATTTCACCCACGCCCCCAGTTGGCCACCCAGACAAATCAGGACGAGGAGAAAGGGGATAAATATAGAAGAGCATGGGGGAGAATGCCAGACAAGACCCTGAATTGCGATTAAGCTCCTCCGGGCAAGATGAAACACCTGCGTGCGTGGCCTTTTGATCTAGGGCCGATTGTCAGACCTAGACCTAGCCACTGTTTATCTCTGTCTCTGCTGTATGTTGTATAAGGATAATACTACTAGGTATACTTAGGTGGTAGTACATCTAAGATAGACGAAGATACCCAGGTACCTACAGGAGGACATACGAAGCCCCTGACCCAACCCCAATCTACGTAACCATGGTCCAGTGGTCTGTGAGAAGAATCCGTAACGACAGTGGGGATGTGGGGAGATTGGATCGTTCTCATGTCGGTGGAATCTGATGTTGGCTCTACTATATCTGGAGTATACTCCGGAGCTGTATAATAGAACATCTATTATAGATGCCTATAGAGATATCTACATACCTATATTTGTGTCTATATATATATCGATATACTAGCTACAGAAGAATATCATACATACGCTGACTATAGGGGCGACCTTCCTCTTTGGGGCGGAAGAAGTTTGCGGAGCTTCTCGAAGGTCGGCAGTCGTCATCCTCCTGGTCTGGTTCGCCAATCACCGTCACCAGGTGGGGGCATCCATAGAAGGAATAACGATGAGCGTTTCATCTAGTATTATTATCTCAAAGAATAAGAGAAGAAATATTAGCTGATATTAATAGATACAGGTAGAACAAGAGAATAAAGGTACACAGTATAATCAACACATAGATACTACCATACCAGGTACTACAGTAGTTCACGATCATAGCTGCATCAGATGTACTGCAGTCGGAAAGCATCTCCTCGATCGGCACCATGCTAAGGTTTAATTAAGGGTCATATCGTCATCCTAGCGTGTCAGACTAGCACAGGGTTCTCATCTCATACACAAGTCTACAGTAGGTAGAGAAGTATTGTAGAGAAGAGGCAACTCTCTCTCACACAGAGTAGTTATGTTTGTCTCGAGTGAGAGCTGACTCAGCACTGTATGTCACTCCTCCGTCGCCATTCGTCAACAACTCTTCCACTCCAACATCCCAACCATCAACAACACCATCCATCAACGACTATGGAGTACAGAATGCACATGGCTAGCATCAACATAACCATGACCATGACTCTGTACGCCCATAGACGCCACAACCCACTTCATATACCCGACCGCAATGCTTACCCCACGAGGAACCCAACCTGATCCTGATCCTCGGGGTTTCCCCCTTCTGTCACTACTATGTCACTACTGTCATTACCCTGTCCCGGCTAATGAGGATGGTCGAGTGGACCTCGGACACACTCTCCTCATCCAGTCTGGAGAAGGCCAATGGCTCGGCGTGGATGTTGCTGCTTTGGTCACCCTCTGCATGCCTAGTGGGATCGGATGGGACCCGTAAGCGAGCAGATCGGCCTCAATCTTTGACAGATGCAGCTGCATGCCCGAGGGACAGTATATCTAACCGACTATCTTCTAGGGTATCACTACGGAGTCACTGTCCCATCCTAGCCTCATATCTATTGTACGTACAGGCAAAGTCTGAGAGGTTGCACCGCCATCCTAGTTAACGACTCCCTACTCCCTACAGAATCATATGCACAAAATTCTCCGACAAAACCTTGCAATCACAACTCCCTCCCGGCTCATTGGCTACCCTCCTGATAGACTGCGCGATCATCATGCCAAGGGCCCCAGGGGTGGGAGGACCGCTGAGTGGATGACATCCACGAAGCCACGACGGTGCGCTGGCCCAATCCATGGGCCATCCTGACAAGTCGTCAGCCACCGAATCTTCGGCGCATCGCACTAGACTCGTTCTTGACCTTTGGTCCGACAGACCCTGTCTCGCTTGAGGGGTGGAGCGATGGAGTAGAGATCAGCGAACGGTGGCTCCAAGCATCCATACGGAGTATGATATGGAACAGTATCATACAGAGTACACCGGATGAACCATCTACGGAGAACCTACCTAACTATATCTCCCTCTGTATACTTCGTACTCCTACTGAGATGAAACTACCCCCAATGTCTCATTACCGACGGACACAGCTTGGGCGGCGCGGCCGTTTCACCAGCCCGGGCACTTTGCTGCTTCGGGGCATGCTCGGCGTGCGGTGGATTCGCCCTCTGCTAATAATGAGCCTGCCATCTCTGCGGCGAAGACGAGCCTTACGTGTCCTGCGTCTTTTACCCTCCGTGGACATACTCCGATCGTTTACTCCGAAGAGCGTCGTGTAGGAGTCCAAAGGCCGGAGTAAATGAGTTCAATGATGCTAATTCACCCTAATTATGCAGCGCAGCGTCTTTTAGCGATGATGTCACAATTTTGTCTCCTTCTATAGGAGTACTCCTTCCAACACCACTCCCCCGTCTATCACACAGTCTGAATTGACGTCGGCCGACTCAGCCCTCCGCCCGTCCGAATCACCACCTTCACGCTGATTGCCCGCGCCTCGCGAATACAACACGCCAGACACGTGCGCTTCTCCCGTCCGATGATCGCATCATACCCGGCCGACGCACACCACGCCCGCGCAAATGCCTCCTTCTCGCGACTCCCCCGCGCGTCCACCACCATCACCTCGTACCGCCCGACCCCGATGTTGCCAAAGAACAGCTCCTGCGAGTGCGATCCCCGCAGCGCCGCGATTGGCACAAACTTGTACCCGTACGTGCGGTGCAGCGGATGCCCCGGCAGCCGGTGGTGGTGCAGCGGCGTCGGCGGCGTCTGGCCCTGGTATGAGACGAAGCCGCCGGGCGGACGGCACTCATGTGAGGCCACAAACCGCACGTTGTACGTCAGCGGGAACGACACCTTGATGCTGGCGGCGCCGTCGGGGGACGCCGCGTCCGTGGTCAGGCTGAACGACATGCTCGTCTTGTGCGCGACGACCTGCGGCCGGCCCTCGAGCGGGTGCGCCTCTTTCCCGGAGAAAGTCAGCGAGTCGAAGCGGATGCGGGAGGCGTCCTCGTCGAGCGGCGCGTCGACGGGTAGCGAGTACGCGCCGCTCGTGAGGTCGCCCAGCCCCAGTGGCGTGGACTCGTACGACAGCTTGTTGCCGTGTTTGATGCGCGGCTTGCCCGCGTTGCCGTTGCCCGGCGGCGCGACCACGCTCACCTCGAACCAAGTGTTGTCCAGCGGCTCAAAAGTCTGCGAGTCGCGCGGCACGACGGCGCTGGACGACCAACCGAGACAGGCGCGTGCCCCCTCCAGACAACACAACACGCGCCCCACGATGCACTCCTGGCTCCAGTAGCTGCGGCCGCGGTAGGCGAAGCCGCCGTACAGGTTGGCGACGCGGCCGAGCGTGGCGCGCGCAGCTGGGTCGTTCTCCAGCACCGTCGCCATGAGCAGGTGGTTAATGAGCTCGCCGGGCGCCACGAAGCCCGAGAGCCAGCTGCGCGTGATCCAGCCGCCGATCTGGTGCGGGTCCTTGTCGCTGGCGCTCGCGTCGTGCAGGAGGATGCGTCGGCGAGAGAGGCTCCGGCTGTACATTTCGTCTTTCTCGAACGGCACGTCCGTCTCGCCCAGGGGGATAGGGGTCATGGGCTGACTGAAGGCGTCGGCGATGATGTCGGTCGAGTTCTCGGCCTCGAGTTTCGAGCGCAGATGGGCGCGGAGGTCGCGAGCACCCGGCCATCCGATCGCCTCGGCGAAGACAGTCAGCCCCTGGATCTGGACCTCAACGTGCGACGGAGTCAGATGGCATCGCCACGCGGACTCGACGTGGAGTTTGGTCAAGGACGGCGACGACGACCGATGCGTGAGGGCCTCGAACCAGCGGTGATGGTGGCGAGGCTTTTCTCCCTTGTCGTTTTTCTCGTGCGACAGCGAATGCAGAGACATCGACGACGCCGTGCGCGGGGGCTCGGGCTCGTCCGCGCGGTAGGCGATGCCGAAAGCGTCCATGAAGCGGCGCACAGTGACGAGACACCAGTCGACCTGGTCGTTGCGCAGCCGGTCAAAGTCTTGCATGTCGCGCGCCGACACGTGCAGGTTGCTGGAACTATCCAGGATGCCGACACGGACAGTCGCATCCAACCGCAGCAGCAGCTCCGCCGACAGCAGCATCTGCACGAGGAGCCACTTTCGCTCGAGCGTCGGGTGCATCCAGGGTTTGTCGCAGGAGTTCGGGTTCAGAAAGTCTCCATCCACATGCGGCGCCGCCTCCCAGAGGATCTGGCCCACGCGCAGCCGCCACTCGGGCAGACAGAAGTTGATCCAGGCGCCGGGGGTGCCGAGCACGGTGGTGAGCGCCTTGATCTGCACCTTGAGGCTGTGCGGGTTGTCGACGCCGACGAGCATGAAGTGCGAGGGCGGGTAGAGGAAGCGCGTGAAGAGCCCGGTGTACAGCTCGCGGCAGCTCTCCTTGTCGAGGATGGTGGTGGTCTTCTGGCTGTGGAGGATCTCGTAGCGGAACGTCGTCAGGAACTGCAGACGCTCGACGAGCGTGCGCAGGTCGATGTCGCGCACGCCGATGCGTCGCCAGGCGGATGGCCCGTCGCACAGCAGCCGCTTGCGGTCGTGCACGGTGCCGTCCTGGCACAGCGAGTACGGATCGTTGTAGTGCTCCATGAGATCGTACACCTCGGCCGCCGGCATCGCCGACAGATGCATGTAGTCCGCTATCGGCCGTGGTCTCTCCGGCCCGACATACCGCACCGCGTCCCCCACGGGCAGCTCCAGGTACGTGCGGAAGCCGATGGTGCCGGGGTCCTTGCCGTTGTTGCCGAGCATGTTGGGCGTCTCAAAGATGCCAATGTCGAAGGTCGCGCGCTTGGGCGCCCCCGTGCGCTTCCACCGGTTCAGATACACGGGCGCGTCGCCCTCGATCACCCACTTGTCCGGGACGGGGAGATGCGCGTGCAGCGTGCAGATGGTGTAGGCCGGGTGAGGGAGCGGTCGTCTGTCCCAGAGATTCTGAATGCTCGGGTCGTGGTCGTCGAACGGGAAGATCACCTGCGGGTAGTAGTGGCCATGCTTGCCCTTCTCCAGGAGGAAGTAGGGGGCGCCCGAGAACAGCGTCTCGGCGTCTTCCTTGGTCAGTTGGTAGCTGGCCGAGGGTTTGACGTCGGCTTTCTTCGGGCGGGATTCGACGTGCTCGCTGTGCGCTTTCGCTTTGGCCTTCGGTTTCTCCTTCGTCGGCCTGGGCGAGTCAGCGCGCGTGTTGGCGTCGGATGATTTTACGGAGGAGCTGGCATCCGTCTGGCACTGTTAGAATTGTAGATAAATGTAGCTTGCCTCGATGCACGGTCACTCACCGGCTCCCGTCTGATGCCCGTCGTGGGGTCGGGATCGGGGTCGTCCGGGCAGTCCCGGTGTCGCCGAAGCAGATCCTGGACCATGCCGCGACCGCGGGATTCCTGCTGTTGGGTTCGAGGGTTTGGCATCGACATCCGTCGCGGTCTCTGGCTGTTCGCCAGACCATCGCCTTCTGGGGCTTCGCCAGAGACGGAGTGACGGCGGCCGAAGTACCAGCCCATTGCTTGTAGCCTGTAGACCGGCTGTGCCGGGAGTGTATGTATGGTGTGTAGTGGAGATGTATATATTGCCGGGTCATTCACATGGCGTGTCTAGAGTGCCCGGTCGAAGAATCAACAAATGGAGAACGTATATTGGACTGCGAGGACGGTGGAATGTGCAGTCGGAAAGGTCTCATCCATGGGGCGCTGGATCGATGACGTCCTCGCGGGGAGACTTCGGGGGGGTTGCCTGATACGGCAATGCATTATCACGACTTGCTCAGATAAAGACCATGTCAACTTTGTTACAGTCATAGATACATTCTGCATAATGCAAACTGACTATGCCCAGTACTACAAACACGTCCCATTTTATTTATCCACTGGCCGGCTATCATCAGATCATTACCACCACTCATTACCCCTCCACATCACGCCACCACACTTTAAGCGTGCTTGTGGAAGAAATCCAGCGCAGTGCGATATCCACGCTCATACTCTTTGCGCACCTCCGCATCCTCGAGGTTCGACCGCGCCGCCATCCACCCGTGGATCTGCGACGAGAACGTCTCAACGTAGTGGTCAACCTTGAGGTTCGCCCCAAACGCCGTGACGTCCTTGGAGTTCTCATCCTTGGACGCCAGCACGGCCATCGGCACAGAGACGGACTTTGCATCGTCGGGCGCCAGCATCGCCGGGTGGCACTGCACGGCGGCCTTGAAGATGGTGTTCTCCTGGCCCGCCGCCAGACAGGCGATCTTGCCGCCCCAGCAGTAGCCCAGGATGGACCAGTCGAACTGGCCGTTCGGGGCGAGCTTGTTCGCCTCGGACACGATGGCAGGGATCTTGGAAAGCGTGTTGGGGGGCGCGGCCTTGGTCTGGAAGAAGTTGCCGAGCTTCTGCTTGTGGTCGTCGGTCTGGGGCGGGAACCAGGTGATGTCGGCGGGCTGGCCCTCGAAGAAGTCGGGCATGAAGACGCGGTATTTCTTCTCGTTGGAGGTGGAGAGGATGTCGGCGCCTTGGAGAGTCTGGGGGGAAGAAACCGAAGATGTCTGGTGGGATTTCTTAGTTGGTGCCGAGGGAGGAGAGGAGAGGAGGGAATGTCACGCACCGTAGACGACGAGGATGGCCTTGGTAGCGGATTCGGGTCCGGTGACGTCTGGAGATGGTGAGCTTCGTTAGAGCTGACAAGGGATGGATGGCGTACAGGTCTTCAGGCCATTGATGGTCTTGTATTCGCCCTTGGGCTCGTAGCCCTTGGCGACGACGGGAGGGATGCTACAACGGTCAGTGGCTGTTGTTTAGGAAGGAGCTCCAGACACGTACGAGCAGCAGGCCTTGCTAACACCAGACATATTGGCGGAGGAGCAGACGGAACGCAGTGGAGATAGAGGTCGAAAGGGCGAGTATATAGCCGGGAAGGACCTTCGTAGAGGGAGAGTCAGAAGCTGTCTGGAGAACATTATCTTACCGGAGGGGAGATGAGAGAGTAGACGCACAGGGCAATCCAGGTAGAACGTCAACTGAGAGTTGAGGGAATGGAGAGAGAAGAACGAAAGACGAAGAATGTTGATTGATATGCGGTGGTGCTTTGCCGAACCCCGCCAACCGACGTCATCGTCGGCTCTTCCTCGGGTGCCGTGCCCGATCGCCTTTTCAATGTCTACAGAGTACAGGGTCGGAGTAGGTATACTTCAAGACAAACAACCTATTACTCCCAATTCATAAATCATAACACCATAAGGGTATCTTCCATCCAGTCCATACGCCATAAACCCAATTCGTCACAGTCCCGAAGGTATCTTCTTGGTCTCCCCACAGGCATACCCCAGCCACCAGCGGTGGAGAAGATCCAGCGTAGTCGGATTGTATTCTCTCATGTCGTACAGCTTGGTCATGCGCACAACTACTTTGTCACCATTGTAGTAGGCTTCGAGCACGCGCAGGTGGAAAGGGCCCATGATGGAGAACAGCATGACCTGTCCACCATGTTAGCGTCACCGGCTGGTATACTCCCAAGTACTGAGTTGGCAATGGAAGCCTGGAATGGAGTGGACGTGCCGGAGCAACAATATGCGAACGCGGGTATCTTGTATGAAGCCGACCGCGCATCACCTGGAGAATAGTAATAAGCTCGCTTCGGATGAGCCGGTCATCACCGATAACATGGGTCTCGACGATGCACTTCATGTGTGGTAGAGTTCCTTCATACCCTTCTGCGATCGAGGCCACGACTCCGGATCCGTCAAGGCTGGGCATGTTCTGGTCATCTTCCAGAAGAAATTGGGCTCAAGAAAGTTGCCGAAATTGAAATTTCCCATCCACCTAGGGAACCATTAGGGAAGACGTCCAAAGAAGGAAAGACTCCAGTATCATACGGTGTATAGCAGATCAGACCCCAGGGGCCTGTCGCGGTCTTGGGCGCACCAGATAATCATCCAAGTAGAAGTTCAGGCGCCCGAGGTTGCAATGATTCTGGCCGTCGGGGTCGGTAGTGTGCATACTCCTCGAACAGGTCCGATTGAGCCGAGTAGTCGATGCCCGAGATAGGGGCTGAAGAAGTGAGGTTTGATCGGAGAATGATTGTCCAAGACCAAAGGAGTGGGTTCGATGATATTCGCCTTGATGCACTGGTCGAGGGAGATGTAGTAGCTGTCAACCCCGCGGATCGCGTCCAAAATCTGGACCAGCGCCTCGCGATAGGCCTTGCGGGTTTCGTAGTTCCCGGGAACGGTCATTGCTGCGGAATGGGATGAGTTTAGAGAATGGGAGAGAAGAAGATGCAGGTCGACGAGCTGCTTGAAAGGAGCAAATGGGGAAGTTGTCTGCCGGGCAACAGGCCGGCGGCCAGTCAGCACCCATCCTGCTTGGAATTGCGCTGAGGGCAAACTCTGGAAATGGGAAAAGACAGAACTAAAGGATCTGTGGACCAAATACGACTGCGCTACCAGAAAATGTCCAGGGACTTGGAGGTGTTTATAGTGCATTCAAGGTTGACAGACTCCAAGTCGATGGCGACGAAGACATGCTGATTCGTTTAACGGCCCTCGTATGCAGGTGACTTCTAGTCTATTATCTATATTTTGACATTTACACGAGTACTATCATCTTGATAAGACGTAGTGGAGATGCAATCCTTGGAGTAGCCGTTAGAAGCTGTCACGCAATTCATGCAATGACTGACATCTTCTGCGTCATGGCTTAAATGCGGCGTGATCTCAAAGCACAAGACTGGAAACAATCAGCTATTCAAGTTAAAACTGCATCCAAAATGGTCGTCGTTCAGCGCCGAAAGTGGTACCAGATCCAATGGTTTGCAGACGAGGATAGTAAAGAAGACCGAAAGCTCATTCTCAAACTCGATGCTTTGATCGTACCTTATGCATTCATCGCGTACTGGACAAAATACATCGATCAAGCAAACATCAGTAAGATGCTCCATTCCTTGGGTGGAAACTACTGACATGATAGACAATGCGTGGGTTTCTGGTCTGTCCGACGACCTAGGCCTCCATGGGAATGAGCTCGTCCATCTGCAGACCATCTACACAGTTGGAGCAGTCGTAGGACAGATCCCATTCGCGTATCTATTCACCCGCCTCCCCATGTCATGGCTTATCCCCTTCATGGATGTGGCATGGGGCATCTTCACACTGCTCCAGTACCGCGTAACATCCTACAGCGAGATGATGGCCTATCGGTTCATGGTCGGATGGTTTGAGGTACGCTGAACGCCCAATATCAATAACACTCACTAACCCATACAGGCTGCGTTCTTCCCTGGAATGCACTACATCTTCGGTAAGGCTCTTCTCCGTATGCCCATCGAAGCTAACATCCCAGGCGCCTGGTACCGGGGCGACGAGATCGCCCGTCGAGGCGGCTGTTTCTACGTCGGCCTCACACTAGGGACTCTGACAGCGAGCCTCATCCAAGCAGGAACATCAGCCCGTCTCGACGGCGTCCACGGCCTCGCCGGCTGGCGCTGGATGTACATCATCTGCGCGATCATCACCATCCCCATCGGGGTCCTCGGCTACTTCGTCCTGCCAGGCACGCCCGACAAACCCAACAGACTCGTCCTCAACCAAGCCGACATCGAGCAGTCGAAAGCGCGGCTCGCGCGCCACGGCCACAACAACGACACCAGCGACAAGCGCACCGGCCAGGTCTCGCTGCGCACCGTCCTGCGCATCCTGCGCAACTGGAAATTCTGGGCCCTCCTCCTCCTCGACATCTTCTTCTGGAACGGAAGCATCAACACAACCACAGGCGGGTACCTCCTGTGGCTGAAGAGTCTGCGCCGGTTCTCGACCGCGCGGCTGAACGAGCTGGCCGCCATCTCGCCCGCGCTGGGCATCTTCTACACGCTCTTTGTGTGCTTTGCGTCGGACCTGGTGCTCGGCCCCGCGTGGGCGATCACGCTCGCGCATGTCTGGAACATCGTCGGGCTGGTGATTTTGGTTGTGTGGGATGTTCCGGAGTCGGCGCTGTGGTTTGCGTTCCAGACCACGTACGCGGCTGTCGCCATGTCCAGCGTGCTGTATGGGTGGGTCAACACGCAGCTGCGCTACTCGCCCGTCGAGCGGTCGGTGACGCTCGTGGCAATCAATATGATTGCGCAGTCGACGACGGCATGGACGCCGTTGCTGGTGTTTAAGACGGTGGAGGGGCCGCGGTTTACGAAGGGGTATGCGTTTGTGCTGGGCAATGCGGTTTGTTTGATCGTGCTGGCGCATTTTGTCGGTTACTTTTCGAAAGAGTACGTCGTCTGTCTCTGTTTTGTATTGATGGTGCTAACGCTTGCAGGGAACCGCCGAGAGAGACGAGCGATGGGAGCGATGTGGAGTCTGGAGAGGTTGTGGTTGGCAAGTGAGTTGGAGTATGTCGTGATGGAGGGTGCTATTCCTGTAGCATATCAGCATCGTACTAGAGTCCATCCAAGCGTATAGTTGTCATCACGCAATTCAGTCTCCGTGACACGCATGATTCATGTCCATATGGACTAGTCGCTCATAGCTACACACATAGACTGACTCCAACTTGCGATAGTTGCGGGGTGAATGGCGAATCAGCAGATGATTTGGAGATGGATATCGCACCATACATACGTAGAATGATTGATTGCGATATGCGGGGTCCTCAAGACGTGATGATAGAGAGGGCTATATTTCTATAATCCTCACATCTACGGAGTAAGCAGGACTCAGATAGTATACAGAGGCCAAAATGGGCGATACCAGCGCCGCGGATGGCAGCAGCCATGAAAAGAAACAGATTCTCCTCAATGCGTTTGACATGTCTACCGTAGGGCATTTGTCGCCCGGCCAATGGAAGGTATGAACATAGCCACAAACTACAAGCAGAACTGACATACCTGATAGAATCCCAAAGATAAATCCGCCACCAAGCGCACGCTGGAATACTGGATCGAACTGGCAAAGCTCCTCGAGCGAGGCGGCATCAACGCCCTCTTCCTGGCCGACACGTACGGCGGATATGACACCTACGAAGGGAAGCTGGACGAATGCATTCGGCGAGCTGCGCAGTGGCCCGTCACGGATCCCACGATTGTAGGCTGCTCCCATACTGCTTGAACCATGCTAACACTACCAGCCCATCTCTGCCATGGCCGCCGTGACCAAGAACCTCGCCTTTGGGATCACCGCATCAACCTCCTTCGAGCCGCCCTTCCTCCTGGCCAAGCGGTTCTCAACCCTCGACCATCTGACCAACGGCCGCATCGGGTGGAACATCGTCACCTCGTGGAAGAAGGCCGCCTTCAAGGCCATCGGGCTGGACACGCCCATCGAGCACGACGAGCGCTACCGCCAGGCAGACGAGTACCTGCGGGTCGTGTACAAGTACGCTCCCCAACCATCAACCATCCAACAAACGCACCTAACCCCCTAAGCAGACTCTGGGAAGGCTCCTGGGCGCCCGACGCCCTCTCCCCCAACCCCGAAACAGACACCTACGTCGACCCAGACAAAGTGCGCCAGATCAACCACACAGGCAAATACTTCACGCTGCACACACGACACATCGTCGACCCGTCCCCCCAGCGCACGCCCTTCCTCTTCCAAGCCGGCACGTCCGCCGCGGGCTCCGCCTTCGCCGCCTCCCACGCCGAAGCCATCTTCGTCTCGGGCCACTCGCCCTCCGTGCTGCGCCCGAAGATCGACCACATCCGGCAGCTGGCCGCGCAGCAGGGCCGCGACTCGCGCTCGATCAAGGTCTTCGCAACCTTCACGCCGATCGTCGGGCGGAGCGACGACGAGGCGCGCGCCAAACTCGCCGAGCTGAAGCGGTACGCCTCCGTCGTCGGCGGGCTCGTCCTCTTCAGCGGGTGGACGGGGATTGACATCTCGCGCGTCCCGCTCGACCAGGACCTCACGGCTGCGGACTCGCTCGAGGCGCACAAGGTCACCAGTGTGCTGGACGCGTTCACGACGCCTAGCGAGGAGGTCCCCCGGTGGACGCCGCGGCTGGTGGCGGAGAAGGCGGCGATTGGCGGGCTGGGGCCCGTGGCCGTCGGCAGTCCGCAGACGGTGGCGGATGAGATGGAGCGCTGGGTGCGCGAGGCAGACCTCGACGGGTTCAATGTCGGGTATGTGACGACGCCGGGGACGTTTGAGGAGGTGGTCGACCTGCTGGTGCCGGAGCTGCGGCGCCGCGGGGTGTATGCGGAGGCTGGGGAGGGGCTCACGGCGCGGGAGAAGGTGTATGGCAAGGGGCAGAGGGAGTTGCGGGCGGATCATCCGGGGAGTCGGTATAAGTATGATGTGTATGAGGAGGAGGTGGACTCACGTAGTTGAGTGTGTTGATAGATGTGGCTGCCCGACTATGTTCAAAGGAGATTCCGGATTCCACTGTACTCCGATAGCTCTTGCACAATATGAATTGAACTGTGCCTTGTAGCCCTGGTCTGTCGATAGTAGCCACGGTCTGTCGATATCCAGATCTCTGCGTCTATCTGCAGGGTTATTGCTCCGTCCAGCAGGTGGCGTCGACGGCGGATCATGTTTGGAGGGACGGGATGATCATGTCCTCGTTGAGATAGCCTCAGTAGACTGGGGATGTGGATTTTACTCCGGAGTAGTTGCTTAAGTTTAATCTGACCTTATATCTGCAGAGAATGGGGTCTAGAGGGTATAGAGGTGTGCATACTCTACTCGAGTCTTGGAGTAGGTTAGGATATATATATCCACATGAACCACCCAACACAAACATTATCACATAGTCTTAGATATACTGATCAAATCACTTCAGTCTATAGAAAATATACAACACTCAGATAGACAACATTACAACACTTCACCCCTAGAAAATGTCTACAGCCACACCGCTTAGTAAGGAGTAAGGACCATCGTACTTTTTACACTGGCCGGCCGAAGCAAAAAAAGATGCACCGGACAACTCCGCCCGATCGATCTTCACGCCAATCACTTCTCCTCCATGCACCAGACAAAAACACCGTCTCCTACGGTTCGCGCAGACAGGCTGATCTTTGATCTTGATCGATCAGGGTCTCGTTCCCATGGACCAGCCCCAGCACCCCACTTAAGCTTGCCGCCACAACGCCTTCCCTGGCACCACCCAGCACCACAGCCGAGCGCATCCACAGTAGTTTGAGTCTGTTTCTGCCTCGACCCGGGGGGCTCAGGCTTTCGACGCGGAGAGGCAGACCCCGGACCGCTGGTCCAGTCCAGGCCCTCTGCAGGTCGGTCTCTGTGTCATGCATGGTGGCATGAACTCGAGGAGGAGCCTAGGAGGCCGGGGGGGTGTGCTCGTTTGATTCTTCCGCGTTGGGGGGGAATACGAGCTGGCAGGCGGATGACCGGGAGATAAGACTTGACGGATGAGAGATTATAATCTATTAATTATTATTTTACTATTATTCTCGTTATTATTGTGAATATTGATATTACCGTGCATCCGTGCATGCCAACCTGCGGTTTCACCGGGCGTCCGCTAGCGAGGCGAGCCGGGATTTGGCTGGCGGGCTGTCTGGAGTGCATGAGACGGCGCTGGGCTGAACCAGACGGCGTCGTGGACGCTGGGTCTACACGAAGCGACTCGACCAGACTCTCTAGGCGTGTTCTGTGACCAAACCTTGCAGGATACAGCAGCAGGGAGCAAATCGGCTGTGAACCGTGGTGGTGTTGAGGACGAGAGACGATAGACCGACTGGTTTTGTTTGGAATGAGACAAACAGTGGATTTCACTTTGGACTGGTCAGAGAGATTATTTATTCTTTCTTTCTGCTTTTATTTATTTACCTGCGAGATACGGTATTACCGCCGAGAAAATACCTAATCGTACCGTCCTAGGCCTGTCCTCCGACAGGATCCCGCTATCTTTAGCAAACACTCGGTGCAGCGGCCGTGCCAAAAGCATCATACGGAGAGGGGGAGGTCTTTCGACTGTATACAATACTAGGTAGAATCTAGGTATTTATCAATCTCCAGAATCGCATCTCATCTGGTACCACCTCCCGCCCACGACCACACGGTGGTTGCCCGGAGGAGCTGTCACCGTGGCCGCCACCGATCGGCCTGCCTCCACTGACACCGACAGCATGGATGGCAGTGACTAGTTCACTGTACCCTCTCTAGTTTGTACTTAGACTGTACTTGTACCCTCTCAGTACTCGTATGGTAGAAATCATATGAAAGTCAGGTGACTCCTCCCGGTCTACTGCCGCTTTGGGCAAGACATGCCATCCCAAGCGATTGGCCGGAGACTCATGGACGACAGGCCTCCTTGCGTGACCAGACCGAGAGTCTCTTTCTGACAGACTCGCCGGTACCTGGGATGGAGACAACCGGACCCGTGGGTCGACGGGGGGATCTGAAAGAACGAGTCATTATTGAACTCTGGGCCGTCCCAAGGGTGCCAACCGCCCCATCCCGGAGAAGGACGCACATCACGAAACAAAGAAGCTTCGGGGGGGCCTAGAAAAGCCGAGGATGCAGGCGGACCAGGCAGGAAACATGCGTGGGGCGTGGAGAGCAGGCAGCAAAAAGAAAAGAAAAAGAAAAAGAAAAGGAAAAAAGAAAGCGGCGACGAGCAAAGCTAAAGGCGGACCTCTCGCTTGGGAGTGCCCGGAATGACAGACAGTCCTCGTATTAGTATTGATTTAGGATTGGTATGGTATTGATCGGTATGGGTGATTCTTGGGTCTGACTGGGGGCTGTCGCGTGGTGGAGAGCGAACCAGTTGCCTTTAGGAGTGGTGTAGTGTATTGTAGCGTATTAAAGATGAATATAATATGAATCTGAACACGAACAGATGGATAGAATGAATAACGGTAGAGAATGGATGCACATACAGAGATGAATGATAAGAAAGAATGCCAACTATCCCACCCCCCTCCGGACTTCCACAGATTCCTCCGAGTGAACGGATGCAAGGAGCAAAACGCGTCGGGCCAGCAGACCCCAGTGGATCAGTCAGTCGCTTGTCGACCCCTTTTCTGGCCTGTCTGGACCAATCGACGGCGGTCCTAGGTATTATTCGATTAATACCTGATCCTAAGGGATTAGGATGCGGATTCGAAAAAGAAACCTATGCAGCAGTCGTGTCTATCACTCTTTATTTTTATTATTTTTATTCTGATTCTGATTAGGATTCTTTCTTTCAAGTGATCGTCATACGGAGCCTGCTAAGCTTATTCTTGCTCCACCAAACAGGGAAATACAGCGCGGACATTCCTCTGGGTCGGTCTGCCCGATCTACTCCACCAGGTCTAGGAGGTGACTCTGAGGAGGTGTCTATGAATAGGTGGTTCATCGAGTAATCAGTAAGAGTACCATCTCCGGAGGACAGAATAGAATAGGAATAGGCAAGACCGAGAATACCCAATACTCCAGAGGACTAGGCAGGATCAGGAGACGGTGATTCATCCCCTGAGCCCGTGGGTACGGCCGAAAGGTGGAACTTGGGCCTCTTGAGCCCTGTCAACCACGTTGCGGATGATCCATCGGGGATGACTATCGATTATTGATTGCGATTATTCTTTTTATTTTTTTTTTATTCTTTTATTCTTTTTCTATTCTTTTATAGGATCGGACATTATGGACAATCAGCTCTCGTCTTTAGGCAGTTGGGCTATCCCTCTAGAAGACCAGCAGACTACTCTGGACTGGTACAATACTAAAGGTCCCTAGGTACTCGATAATACTCAGAATACTCAAATACTCACGAACAAAAATACCGATCGATGAGCGATGCACCGCTGATTGGACCCCGGCCAGCTGATGCTAGACTCGATCGGACTAGTGGAATGGGTGTTGGGAGGATTTTTCTGATGCTGAAGTTGTTCTCCTTTTCACTGCTCCCACTACGACAAGTAGATAAGGTAGTGTCCTATATAGTATACCAACACCACTAGACCAAGGTCCCTACTCGAGTTCTTATTCTACCATTCTACCGTTTCCTTCTCTTCTCGACTCTTCTCTACTTTATTTCTCTGTACTATATCCCGACTGCGAATCAATCGTCCAATCTTACCGTACCATACAGTACCAAATTCCCCCGCGCTGGCCAGACCGGTCTGGCTGGTTCCATTCCTGGAGACTTTCTTTCTTATTCTGCCGGTTCCCTGGTATACAATCCGCTCTCCTCTATTCTATTCTCTAGTCTATTCTATTTTCTCTATCCTCCATTCGATTCTATTTCTCTATTTCATCTTTCTACACGCCTACTCTTCCCTCTCATCTCCGGCTCAACTCCTCCCAGATCATGCCTCTCTCCTGACTCCACTCCTACCACTCACGCCTCCACTCCACCAGACTATGTCTTCCTAATCTTTCAGCTCTCCTCGCTCCCTCCCATCTCGCTGTGCCTGATCCGCTGCGATCGTCGCCCCTCCTGGATCCTCCAGACGCCGCTGGAGCTCGATTCTGGGCGTTGGCTTCCGACTCCCTCGCCTTTCCTCATTCCGCCCACCCGTCGTCCGTCGACGCCGTTGATCTCTTTCCTCCGCCGCCGCTCGGCTTTTCGCGTGAGACGGTCGCCAACCTGGCTGCCCTTGCGGTTCCCCCTCCTCCGCCGGGCATGGGGTCGGCCCTGGATGCCCTGAACCCGCCGCCGCCGCCGTTGAACTCGCGTCGATCCGCCGCCCCGTCGCTGCCCAGCTTTGAGCTGCCGGCCCCCAATTTCTTGGGCAGCGCCGCCGCCTCGGTCAAGTATCCGACGCCATCCACCTCCCATCCGCCCCCGACTCCCAGCGTGAGCAGTCTGTTGACGCCGCCGGCCACCTCGCAGACGGGCGAGTCGCCCGCGCTGGCTTCGGTCGTGACGACCTCGGGGGTATCGGCCTCGCCCGATCTGGCGGCCTCATACGCGCCGCACTACTGGCAGCAGCAGCAGCATCAGCATCAGGCGCAGCAACAGCCGCAACACCCCCCGCAGAACTCGTACCTCCCCCGACAGCCGTGGAACTCGGGGCTCAATCCCTCGTATCCGCCGCGCGATCCCTTTTCGCCCTCGTTGACGCCGCTCCCCCGGCATCGTACCACCTCGCCACTCGGTGTCGAAGCGCTCCCGGGGACTTACTATATGACTTCTGTTCTCCCT